TTTCTATTTGTGATTAACTGTTTTATGTATTTATGTGCTTCCATATTCGGTACATAGACATTTATAATTATTAGCTCTTCCTGATGGATAGACCCTGTAATTATTATATAATGCCCTTCTTCATCCTTTGTTACTGCCTATACTTTAATGTCCAGTTTGTCTGACATAAATATAGCTACTCCAGCTTTCTTTTGACTTCCAGTAGCATGATAGATATTTCTCCATCCCTTTACTTTCAGTCTTAAGGTGTCCTCAGGTCTAAAATGCGTTTCTTGTAGATAGCAAATAGATGGATTTGGGTTTGTTTTTTTTTATCCATTCTGCTACCTATGTCTTTTGATTGGAGCATTTAGTCCATTTACATTCAGTGTTATTATTGAAAAATATGGGTTTAGAGTCATTGTGTTCTTTTTATGATTCATGGTTTTGGTGGTGCCTCTGGTACCTTGCATTCCTTGCAACATTTCCTTCATAGAGTCCCCCTCAGGATTTCTTGTAGGGCTAGTTTAGTGGTGATGAATTCTTTCAATTTTTGTTTAATTAGAAAGACTTTTATCTGTCCTTCTATTCTGAATGACAGGCTTGCTGGATGGAGGATTCTTGGCTGCATATTTTTTCTGTTCATCACATTGAAGATTTCCTGCCATTCGTTTATGACCTGCCAAGTTTCAGTAGATAGATCTATAACCACTTTGATAGGTTCCCCTTTGTATGTTAGGGCCTTTTTATCCCTAGCTGCTTTCAGAATTCTCTCTTTGTCCTTACATTTTGCCAGTTTCACTATGATATGTCATGCAGAAGTTCCATTCAAGTTACGTCTGAGGGGAGTTCTCTGTGCCTCTTGGATTTCAATGTCTGTTTCCTTCCCCAGATTGGGGAAGTTCTCTGCTATAATTTGTTCAAGGACTCCTTCAGTGCCTTTCCCTCTCACTTTCTCTTCTGGAATTTCTATGATACGGATATTATTCCATTTGATTGTATCACTGAGGTCTCAAACTCTCCTTTCGTGTTCCTGGATCAGTTTATCTCTCTTTTTCTCAGCTTCCTCTTTTTCTATAATTGTGTCTTCTAATTCACCTATTCTCCTTTCTGCCTCTTCAATCTGTGCATTGGATGCCTCCATTTTATTATGCATCTCATTTATAGCATTTTTAAATTCATCACAACTATTTTTAAGCTCCATAGTCTTTGTAGCAATAGTTTCTCTCATGTCTTCCATGCCTTTTACAAGAACAGCGATTAATTTTATGACTATTGTTCTAAATTCTTGTTCAGTCGTGTTGCTTATATCTATTTTGAGCAGTTCTTTAGCTGTCGTTTCTTCCTGGAATTTCTTTAGAGGAGAGTTCTTCTGTTTCATCATTTTGGTTAGTTTTCTGTCTCTTGTTATTTTTAAAAGCTTGTTATGCACTCTGCACCTGCGACTGTCCAGGGCCTGTCCATTCAGGAAGTATTCTTTGAATGGTGTCTCTTGGTCTCTCATGTTGAGACTTTGGTTATTTTATTTCCCTACTCGTAGTGGTATTTGGGACTCTCCACCATGTGTACTTTGGCTTGCTTTTTTGAGGTAGCCTTATTTCTGGAGGTTGGTGTTCCTGGTGGTCACCTTCTTCAGATGCCACTTTGATACTATGTAATGTCTACCTAAACTGCAAGCCCTCAACTGGTGCAGGAGGAGACACCAAGTCTGTCCTATGTTTAATTATTTCTGGGGGAGGGGAGTGGAGTGTGAGGTGGTGGGGACAGAGGATCTGAAGTGCAAGTTCTGTGCTGACAGCAGAGAGCCTGAGGTGGGGCTCAAGCTCTCAAACTGTGAGATCATGACCTGAGCCAAAGTTGGACGCTTAACTGATGGAGCCACCCAGTCACTCCATTACTCTTATAATTGTTAAGAAACATCAGTGTTGGGGAGGCCTCCATGAGGACTTGGGTAGAGCAGAGTTTGATCAGGTCTTAAACACTGTCATCAGCAGCTGGTTTCTCACCACTTCTGAGCCTACTTCACTTCTCTTTGTGTTGGTGTGGGAGCCTGTACCTATCCATCATGTAAAAAGTAAAATAAGCGGAAACATCTTTACATTTTTATGTACTTTGTCCACTAATTACTGAGGAGGCTCTTTAAAAATATTCCATTTTGTACCATATTCTTCAGTTTTGCCTTGTAAGATTCTTTAAAACTTTTCTGTAAACAGGTGAGCATTTTTTCTTCAGTGCATGTCAAGTCTGTCATGTCATAATTTCCTGGAGCATTGAGCCTTTTGTCATTATGTAGTGACCCTGTATCCTTACTAGTGCAATTTTACTTGAGGCCTATTTGTCAGGTAATGCTATGGTGACACGATCCTTCGGTTAGCATCCTACTCACATAGCATATCTTCCTCTTTTACATACTTTTGTGAGCTTAAATCTTAGGCATGGCATTTCAGCTGAATTGATTTCTAAGCAGTTATAGCTGAATTTATTTCTGTAAATGTAATATATCTTTGTCTTTTAAATTAAGTTTTTAAAACATGATAATTGACTTAACAGTTTTTTCTAAGGTGTTTTGCATTTGTTCTGTGTCTTTATGTCCTGCTCCCTACCCGTTCCCCATTCCATCCCCATCTACATGTTTTCTTTCCTTATTTTTTGCATGGAGATTTTTCCCCCATGAGTTTTCAATACTGTATTGGAAGTTATGCATGTTATATTATTTCAGTAGCACCTCTTAAACTTATTCTTAAACTTAAAATTTTCACATCCAACTCAAAGGGACATTTGTGTCATGGTTCTTCAGTTCTATTCATGTCATCATTTTTCATAGCTTCTGTCTACAACTATTTTCCTAGGTTTCACACGCTTTGTACTCTCTTATTCATGTGCACCAGGCTTCTCTTTCCACTTCCCATGACTGCTAGCTTCCACTGCAGGAACTGCCGCTTTCAAGTTGGCCACCAGAGATGATTCACTTTTCTGGCTGCTGCAGCCATTCTTTGATCTTTACCCTTTCCAGTTCAATGAAAACATTATTAAGTGCTGGGAAGCATGCAAAACTCATTCTGTTTAGCACCCTTTTCAACACCTTTCTCTTTTCCTGATGCACTGAGGCTTCATCTGAGTGGACATGGAAAAGAAAAAGCAAAAACTGCTGAATGAAGTTGGGTTTGCTGTGAAACCCAATTCCACAGCATATCATCTGCAGATGGACAGTTTTCCCTTCCTTAAATTGGTATCCACATAAAAATAAGCATGGGGGCACCTGGGTGCCTCAGTTGGTTAAGCATCTGACTTCTGTTCAGGTCATGATCTCTCAGTTCGTGGGTTCAAGCCCCGAGTTGGGCTCTTTGTGGTAAGCGCAGAGCCTGCTTCAGATCCTGTCTCCCTGTCTATGCCTCCCCGCCACGCTCTTTCTGTCTCTCAAAAACAAATAAATAAGCTTAAAAAAAATAAGTATGTGATTAGATCTAACTGTTCATATCTGTAAGCAATTGCTTTTTATCTTATCATTTGCAAAGCATGTCCTCCTGGCAAAATGCTTTACAGAAACTCAACCCAAAGTTAGAAAAAAGGCATCAGATACAGAGAACTAAGTTTTGGTCTTGCCTTCTCAATAGCTAACTAAACAACCTTTGGCGGGTCACCTCACCTCTGTGAACCTCTATCTGCCTCAGGTTCCTAATTTGTAAAATCTATGTAGTGGGGGTGTATTAGTTATTAATGGCATCATGACATTATCCCGAAATTTAATGGCTTAACACAAAAACATTCTTTTCTCACATTTTTTTTTATGGTCACAAATCTGGCTGTGATATAGCTGGGTGCTTTTGGCTCAGAGTCGTTTAGAAGACTGCAATCAAGGTGTCTACTGGGACTGTGACATGATACTATCCAGGCTCATTCATGTGATTGTTGGCAGGATTGAGACCCTCCAGCATTGCTGGATGAGAGTCACTGGCCAGAGACCTCCTTCAGGTCCCTGCCATGTGATTCTATCTTCAGTATGTCTCACCTTCCCAAAGCGAGGGCTGTTCTTTCTGTCATCTAATATTAACAGCAATACCCCATTGTTTTTGCATTATTCTGTTAGTTACAAATCAGTAGATCTAGTTCACACTCAGGAGGAAGAGATTTCTTTGTACTTTTTTATAGTCAACCTGGTTGCTTCTCTCAAATAAATTGGTTGATGTGAGAAAGGGATTGCATTCATTTTAGTTTCCACTGAATTCTTTTTTTTTTTTTAACTTTTTTTAATTCATTTTTTTTGAGAGACAGGGAGAACAGAGCATAAGCTGGGGAGGGACAGAGAGAAAGGGAGACAGAATCCAAAGCAGGATCCAGGCTCTGAGCTGTGAGCACAGAGCCCAATGTGGGGCTCGAACTCACTGACTGCAAGATCATGACCTGAGCCAAAGTTGGACATTCAACTGACTGAGCCACCCAGGCACCTTGTCCACTGGATTCTGTCTTTAATTGTGGTCTAAGGCAGGTACCTTTCTTAACTAAAAATAAGACTGTACTTGGGTTTCAAGGAACAATTACTTTCTACCTTGGGGGAAGTTGAGAGATTATCTATCTATCTATCTATCTATCACATATACATAACACACATATAATAGATATATTTAAAAGTCAAAGAAAAACTGATTTGATTTCAAAACTTCTGAATAAAGCAAGATCCTTTTTCTAAAAAACCAAAACCATTATAAATAAAGCTTCATTTGTAATTTTGGGTTACTGGTGATACACCTGTATTGTAGTTTAGGATATTTAAATAAATGTATCAGTTTTATTGTGATGGAAGATATGGGACTGCATTGTGGTCCTTATGTTATTATATAATCACAATAGCAGGAAAGAACATTGGCCAGAAAAGTTAGTCTTGAGTACAAGGTGTGCATTGACTGAGATATAGCACATTTCTCTAAATACCGTTGTAAAATGAGATTAATGATACCACAAGCTCAAATTTTATTTATAAGTGATAATGTTCTACAAATTACTTGACTAATCTTTTATTTCAGGCCACATGCGACCAGCGTGGGTGCTGCTGGAGACCTCAGGGGACCATACATGTGCCTTGGTGCTACTATTCTAAAAGCCATGGCTATCAAATGGAGGGTGACCTTGTGAAAACAAACGCAGGTAAGCCAGACAATGAGGCGGGAGCTCCAGATCCTCTGGAGGTTGGCTCTGCTTGTAGCAGAAGAAAGCCTTAGCGGCATGCAGAGTATCACCCTGCATGGCCACACGACTGCAGGTGACAGAAGGTGGGCGCTGCTCTAAAGCAAGGGCAATGATCTTTCAGCATCAGGGAAGAATCCAATTTTGGGAGTTAGGAGGCATGGTCTATACCTGGCTCTACCTTTATGTCCCTTGGTAACCTTGTTCAAACATTGGGAACTCTTTGGTCCCCAAGTTCCTAACTTTTAAAGTTTGTTTGTTTGTTTGTTTTGAGAGAGACAGAAACAGCACGAGTGGGAAGGGGCAGAGGGAGGGAGAGAAAATTCCAAGCAGGCTCCACACTGCCAGCATACAGATCACCATGGGGCTCGGACCCATGAAGCATGGGATCATGACCTAAGCCAAAACCAAGAGTCAGACGCTTAACTGACTAAACCACCCAGGAGCCCCCAAGTTTCTAATTTTTAAAGAGAGGAGTTTGAAGTTAGTAACCTCTGAGACTACTTACAACTCTAACATAATGTGATTTTGCTGATAGGGAAACAATTCCAATTTCATACACATTTTATTAAAGTTAGCTAGCCAATGTCAGTGTTTATGAACTAAACATCTCCTCTTCTTTCTCCCATACTAAAATGCAGAGGATAATAATGAACATTCTGGAGGTTAACAGAGGGTGACTACTTTGGGGAGGCTCTTAGCATATAGGAAGGGGCACGCTGCCTTTCCAAGGCTCTTGGCCTGATGGCCTTTTCTAATAAGGTCTCAATTCTCACCTCTCTTATCACAGAACCTGGGAGATGGTATCAGTTTATATATGACCTGGGAATGAACAGAATATATATATATATATATTCTCCTATATATAGAAGGCATCTACTGTCTTCCTTCAGTGTGATCACCTCCTGAATATATTTTATAGAGTCAACTGGTTAAACTTGGCATATATATATATATAAATATATATATATATATATATATATATACATATATAAATTGAGGGCTAAGTGTGTGAAGGGTATGTGGTTAACACAGAATGGCTGATGAACTGATTGAATGAGAATTAGGCCTTTGGTGGGGGAGAGATTGCCAGCAGATTTTGTAAGAGAGGCATGGTTTTTGGGGGAAGTGACAGCACCTAGCTTCCCGATCTGGCCCAAGGTAGTATGTGTGTAAGATAGGTATATATCTATCTCTTCTGTTTTGAGAAAAAAAAAAAAGGCTGACAATCCATTTGACATAAAGCTTAATTTTTATTGGCTATTGTTTGCTAGTTTACACTGCCAGCTGTGTAAACCTTTCCCCCTCTGCAAACTAGGATTCAAAGCCCAGTTGGAAAGGTTGCCTTCTCCATCTTTATTTGGAAATGATGTCAACAATGTCCTTCTCACAGCAGAATACCAGACAGCCAACCGTTTCCACTTTAAGGTTGTGGTTTCTTTCTTCTTTAAACATCTTTTTGAAATGTTCTTGTTGTCTACCTGATGGTTGCAGTTACTACAATATAGACAATGTTGCTAACGGAGGTATTTTTCTCTTCTGACATTATTCTTACCTAGTACCTACATGTTGAAGGCATCTACTGTCTTCCTTCAGTGTGATCGTCTCCTGAATGTATTTTATAGAGTCAACTGGTTAAACTTGGCTTTCATTCATGTGTCCTTGATACCTGAAATGTAGTCAGGAGGGAAAAGGCAAAGAATTTTCACAGCTGTGAAAACTCTGGAGATAGTCCTTCTCTGGAGACTTACAAGGTATATTTCTACCAAAAGACTAACTTGTGCCCAAGTGCTAACCATTTGAATTTGGTAATATATTGGGTGCATCTACCTCAGACATAATGCCATCTGGATCAGTGCCCGAGTTCAGTACCATGAGCATAGGCATTGGGGAGCATTGCTATTGGTAGGGAGGTTTCTATCCTGGAATTACTGAGAGGTTTCCATTTTGACTTTCTTTCCCTTCATGTCTCTGGGCAGTTAACCGACCAGAGCAAGGACAGATACGAAGTGCCCCATGAACATGTGCAACCCTTCAAAGGAAACGCTGCTTCTCCTTTGGCCTATGAAGTTGATGTCTCCAAACAGCCATTTAGCATCAGAGTGATCCGAAGAAGCAATAATCGTGTTCTGTAAGTTTGGAAAACCTTCTGGGGATCAGAGTAGGAAGGACACAGGGGAGGGAGGAAGGGTGCATGCATTTCATATTTCTGAAGGTTGTGAGCCCACTGTTGGTGTACAGACTCTCTCCAAATGTGTACTTTTGTCTACCTTCCTCTTTCCTCCCCCTTCTCCTCTTCCTCTTCCTGCTCCTTTTCTTATTGTTGTTGTTATTGCTAAGTATTTATTATACACCAGGCACTGGGCTGTGTCCTTTTTTTTCCCATTTTTCCTACTGTGTGATCATTTTTTCCTCTTTATTTTCCCCTTTCCTCCATCCATCTAACCACACGTCTGCCAGTAACTATTTACAGAACATCTCTTATAATGTAAGGATAGTATTTTGGTCATGCAGTAGAGTGTCCAAGGGAAAAAGAAGTTCTGATCTCTTGGCATCTATGGGAAAGCATCACAGAAGGGCAAATGGAACCAGTTAAATAGGGGATATTGAGTCATCCAAATGTAAAGGACACTTTTCTAAGAGGTCGTGTTCTGTCCACTCCACTTGCCCCTCTGTCCCTGCATTTTGCATTGGCGTCTAGGTTGGACTCAAGCATTGGACCACTCCTGTTTGCCAATCAGTTCCTGCAGTTCTCCACCCGACTGCCCAGTGCTAACGTGTATGGTCTGGGGGAACAGGTGCACCAACAGTACCGGCATGATATGAACTGGAAGACCTGGTCCCTGTTTGCCAGGGACACAACCCCCAATGGGGTAAGCGCTCAGGATGGGCCACTATGCACTGCAGGTCATAGCCTCATTCTTGACAGTCACTCCGAGCAGTAGAGAATAGTAGTTGAGTGAGATTCTAGGGGGGAGACTGTTGAGGTTTGAATTTTGCCTCTGCCACTGACCAGTTATGTGGTTCTGGACAAGTTACCTCTCTGTGTCCTTAGTTCCTCATCTATAAAATGGGGGGAATATACTTCCCTCATAGGGTTGTGATAGGAATTAAAGGAATTTATACATCCAGAGGCTCCAGAACAGTGTGGATAAAGATCATTGGAATGATTAAGTGATTCTTGTTATATAGTATCTCTCTTTACCAAAAGGACTCTTAAAAAAATAAGTATAATTTACTCCATTTAACAGGTGAGAAACTGAGGCTAAGAAATATCCCAATGTTAAAAAAAAAGTTTAAAGTAACAGAGATAGGATCTCATCCGTGGCCTGTCTAATGGAAAGCCCATGCCCCTTATTCTACCATATGCCTATCAGAAAGACAGAAAAGGTGATAAGTCAAAGCAGCTCACCTGTGAATGACTGGTGATGGTTATCTGATAAAGAGCCTCAGATCCATGCTACTCAAATGGGCATCATCATGTGAGAAATGTGGGCTCTAAGCTCCCTCTTCCATCTATTGAATTAGAATCTGCATTTAGGGGCACCTGGGTGGCTCAGTTGGTTGAGCATCTGACTTTTAAGTTCAGGTCATGATCCCAGAGTTATGGGATTGAGCCCCATGTGGAGCCTGCTTTGGATTTTCTCTCCCCCTCTCTCCTTCTGCCCCTCTCCTGCTGCTGCATGTGCACTCTCTCTCTCTAAAAAAAAAAAAAAAAAGAATCTGCATTTAAATACGATTCATATGTAATTTGTTTTCTTTTAAAAAATTTTAATTTTTATTTATTTTTGAGAGAGAGAGAGAGAGAGAGAGAGCCCAAGCAGGGGAGGGGCAGAGAGAGTGGGAGACATAGAATCTGAAGCAGGATCCAGGTTCTGAGCTCTCAGCCTGAATGCGAGGCTCAAATTCAGAAACTGTGGGATCATGACCTGAGCCGAAGTCGAATGCTTAACTGACTGAGCCACCCAGGTGCCCCCATATGTAATTTCTATGCACACCAAATTTTGAGAACTGCTTTTCTAGAGCAGTGATTTCAAGCATGACTACACATTGGAATCACTTGGAGAAATATAAGAAACTATCAGCACCTGCTCCACCCCCAGGAATTCTGTTTTAACTGGGCTAGGATGCAGCCCAGGTTGAGAACCACTGTTCTGAAGTCTGAAGTCTTAGAAAATCAGCTTAAGCTCTAAAGTCTACTGTTCTAAAGACTAGAAGACCGCTATCTTGAGTAGAGCTCCATCCAGTTGCACAGTAGAAAGATGCTTGATTCACAATAAGGCTTGATGGAGCTTTTGCACATGGGGTTAGATTAAGCCTCTTTGAGAGAAGAGATTTTTTGAACTACAGCTTAAAAATTCTTGTTCTCCCACATTTTAACAGATATCACAGGCTCTCACATTTCTACTAGATAAATGGTCATAACTGGCTCATTCAATAAGAGAACTCTAATTCACTTGGTCAATGCCAACTAAATGTAGACTTGACATTTTAAAGATTTATGTGTGTCTTCTTTGACAATGAGGTCCCCTTCAATTACTCACATGATTAACACTGATTTCTTAAGTCATTTCTGGCCATTTGTTTAGATTATTAGATGGTAATTTTTTTTATTTTTTATTTTCTTTCTGCAGGATGGGACTAACTTGTATGGTACACAGACATTTTTCCTGTGTCTTGAAGATGCTAGTGGATTGTCCTTTGGAGTGTTTCTGATGAACAGCAATGCCATGGGTAAGAAACTAAGGGAATATTCATGAAGACGTGGATAAAAGCAATTTTCAGCCCTATGATAAAAGGAATGGAGCTCTTTAGGAATGGCTGAACCATAGCTCAGGGGCTGGCATGTTCTCTGATTGTCTCTTGTCCCTACCTCATTACCGGTTGTTGTGTGGGAGCCATGAATAAGGCTTTGTCTTCTACATTCTGATTTTCCTGAATCTGGTTGCCTCTTTTGGAATATTTTTCTGTTGTAGAATTAAAACAACTAAGCTTATCATCCTATAATCTACTCAGAGGCAGTTTCTCCCAGTTTGTTCTTTTTCCTTCTTTAGACTTTCATCCAGTAGAGTGGTTGATATAAACTCTGGTAGGAAATAGTCAATTGCCCTGGGCCTAATGATGACAATTGCAGGCAGGGCTTAACCAGGGAGCTACAACTGAGAAGTTAATATTTCATTCAGATAATCCAAAGATAGCAAGGTAAAGTGCAGTGGCAAGGTCATCGACAGTAAGATCAGTTTGTTTAAGAACAAACATTTGCGGGGCGCCTGGGTGGCTTAGTCGGTTAAGCATCCGACTTTTGCTTAGGTCATGATCTCGCGGTTCGCGGGTTCAAGCCCCACGTCGGGCTCTGTGCTGACTGCCAGCTCAGAGTCTGGAGCCTGTTTCAGACTCTCTGACTCCCTCTCTCTCTGACCCTCCCCTGCTCACGCTGTCTCTCTCTCTCTCCTAGAAATAAATAAGAAAAAAAAAAAACATTAAAAAAAAAAAAAGAACAAACATTTGTGACATCATAGGATTCCAAAAAATAGCTATCTTCCCCATCTTTAAAAGTTTAGACTGGACCAATGATTCTTTCTGCTTATACCAATAACAGTGGATCTCATGGGTAATGAATCAATCACTACATGGGAAGAGGAGGTATATTAGAATTTCTCAGGGTTGATGGTGGGCATGAGATATTGATCCCTACCCTCTTCTCAGCTGAGAATCAATGGACTGGATAAGAGCTGCTCAAAGCATGGCTCACAAATAGTTCACAAACTAGGATGAGTCTAGAAATAAAGGAAACATCGCTATAGTATCCAAGGGCACACATGAACCCTTTTCTAGTATTTTTTCAAATTATTTTACAAAAGCATCAGGTTCCAAATAATTGCAAATTAAAAAAATAAAGCACTGATCCTTCACTACCGATTGTTTGAGACTACTCTAGGTGACCTGGGATGATTCTAAGATATCTAATAGTCTAAGAATAGACTGAGTTAGTGCAGGGATTGTACAATTATTTCAGAGTGTTGGAAGGAACGAGAAAACAAGTCAAGTGAGGCTTAAAGGGAGGGGTCCCAGGATCCTAGATATTCCATGTGAGTTGTTCTTGTGACCAAAGAGTACATTTCAGTAGATCTTGAATTTTGTTATTCTTTTATTCTCTTATTCCTAAATGCAAACCAAGGCTATGGGGAGACTTCACCTATAAGAACTGTGACTGGGGCTTAGAGGAATTTTGAATTTATAATCTCTGACTTGTTTTTAACTTAGCTTTTGCTTGATGTGAGATTAACTGAGGCTCAATGTGTCTCATTGGGTTCCATTCCTGCAGTGATGATAGGGTGTGGGGTGGAATGTCAGAGAAGAAAGACTTTTCCTTGTGCCCTCATCAGTGTAGTATTTACATGTACAACACGGGAATACAGAAGAATGCTCAGCCAAAAGTAACTCAGAGGGGTGTTTAGAATTTGGGGCTTATATTCCACCCTGATACGTAAATGGGAAGGGAAGAAAGGGAACTTCTGAAAAACAAAGGACTTTTTGGAAAGATAAATGAGCCCTCAGTGGGGAGATAGAATATTGTTGTGACGATGTCTGCTTGGGTGTGGTGCTGATGTTTTGTCTCAGGGAAGATTAGAGTTGCTCCAGGGGTGGGAATTTATGACAATCGAGTTCTGGAAGCCCAGCTTTGATGGTTGATAAGGGCCTTCGGAAACTCAAATGTTTTCAGCTTGAAATAACTTCCGTGCTGTGGACACACAGTTTCTAGTTTCTTATCTGGACCCCTTCAAGAAACTGATTGCTTTTTCATGGAAAGCCTGGGTCCTGACCTAAGGAGTGAAGACATGCCAGTCACCAGTTCCTGAGATCTGTCTCAGAACAAATGCTTTGCCTCTCCTGTGCTGCAAGGGTGGACCCAATCAGCAGAATGTGCTCTGTTGTATACAAAACTTGAGGCATTAGATTCACCTTATTACTCTTCAGATAATTGAGGATCCTGCAGTCTAAAACTTTGTATTAATACTCTACAGTAAATTCTAATATTTGAATATTTTGCTTTTAATCTTGCAAGAGGTAGCCCTCCAGCCCACCCCAGCTGTCACTTACCGCACCATCGGAGGCATCCTCGACTTCTATGTGTTCTTGGGAAACACTCCAGAGCAAGTTGTTCAAGAATATCTAGAGGTGAGCTTACGACATCATGGTTATGACTGAAGAAATAAATCCGAAATAGCACAAAGAAAAGTCAATTTAATAGGCAGGTGCGAGTCATAAAGGATCTGCTATTATAAGTCACTGCTATAAATCTGCAACTTAAAATTGACCCTGCCCTCGATGATTTATCATAGGGGCTAGGAAAATAGACTAACATTCTAACACTGAGGAAATGGTATCTTGGGAAATGGAATATGTCTTGTGCCCCCAAATCAATGCTTACAAAGTTTTGTTTAAAATAGAGTATTTGTGGGGCACCTGGGTGGCTCAGTCGGTTAAGCACCTGACTCTTGATCTTGGCTCAGGTCAGGATCTCAAGGTGGTGAGATCCAGCCAGGCATTGGGCTCTGCACTGGGTGTGAAGACTGCTTGGGATTCTCTCCCTCCCTCTCTCACTGCCCCTCCTTTGCTCATGCACTTGCATTTTCTCTCAAAATAAAACTTTACAAAAATAGAGTATTTGCTAACTTTTATTTCACATACTTCTATCAGCTCATTGGACGGCCAGCCCTACCCTCATACTGGTCACTTGGATTTCATCTCAGTCGTTATGATTATGGAACCCTACAGAGCATGAAAGAAGTCATGGAGAGAAACCGTGCTGCACAGCTCCCTTATGTAAGTAAGGCTTTAAACATCCTCCAGTAATAAAGGAATTGCCTTGGGGAATAAACACAACTGTTTATATTATCTCCCCCTGAGTTTTTTTTAAATGAATAATACAAAGATTTTTATATATTCAGAATGCTAGACATTTTGTTGGGCCAGCCATTCCTTTAAGGAACTAGTTCTTTTTAGTAGGAAATAGTAGAGATCACAGTTTTGGATTTTATTAGCAAAATTTTCTTATGCTCACTCTATTGACTACATTTATAGAATGTGTTTTGATTTGAGTTCTCAAAGGATTTCTTTCCCTAGTTTAAGTGAGCAAAAGCGTATAGTACATACACATAATAATACCATATTTTTGTATTTAGGATGGTCACATCTGAACATATCTGGTATATCACGGAGAGTGAGGTTTTTTGGAAGGTGCAATGGGAAAAGCCCAGTAGTGTCTGGATTAATACTCTTTCCTCCCCTACCCCAGACACATAGGTCCTAGAGCAAGAGTCCATTTCATTCTGGGCTTCACTATTTTCATACAGGCCAAATTAGGAAAAAATAAATGCCAAAGTGTCATAGACTCTCAGTCTAAAGTTCTTTCTTGTCTAAGCAAGAAAGCAGGACACAGGATTAAAACAGGAGATGGCTAACATCCGGGAAAAGACAAGAGTTCCGAATAAGGGTCCTTGCGCCATTTTTATTAAGATTAGAAGGCTTACAAACGCGATGGGTGTGCACAAAAAGACAATGCAGCAGTGAACATCAACTCATGGGCATAAGGGAAAGGGGGTTTTGTAGATATGCGGTGTTTGGAGTTTGGGTCACTGTAAAACAAAATCCTCGTGCCGGGCAGATGGGCAGAGGGTTGTTACCTGCAGGCGGGAGGCCTGCATCTGTTTCTCTTGGCTAGCCTAGGGGAGAAGACAGACAGGGCAACACACTTCAGGGGTCAACAAGGCACTTTTTCTTTTGTAAATCAGCTCTGGGCACCATCACCGGCAGCACAGTGTGGCGGTCTATAGTCCTAATCACCTGCTTACCTAACTTGTTCCTTCCATCCTGTGAGAGCAGCTTTCTGCTCTAGTACTAAATTGGGGGGTGCTTTGCCCTGAATGCCTAATCTTTTTTTTTTATTTATTTTATTTTAAAAAAAATTTTTTTTAAATGTTTTATTTATTTCTAGGGGAGAGAGAGAGACAGCGTGAGCAGGGGAGGGTCAGAGAGAGAGGGAGTCACAGACTCTGAAACAGGCTCCAGACTCTGAGCTGGCAGTCAGCACAGAGCCCGACACGGGGCTCGAACCCACGAACCACGAGATCATGACCCAAGCGAAAGTCGGACGCTTAACCGACTAAGCCACCCAGGCGCCCCTAATCTTTTTTTTTTTTTAAATAGTTTATTGTCAAGTTGGTTTCCTGAATGCCGAATCTTGCTTACCTCATATACCTTTGTATTGGGTGCCTCTGCACCCCTTTCTATTCTGGGGCCTTTGCCCCTCCCTCTCTATTCTGGGGGCTCTGCACCCCCTATCTATTCTGGGGTGCATTTGTACCTCCCTATCCTTGGGGGCCTTATCTTGTTTACACAAACTCGGTGTAAGCGTCCTATGGCTTTGTAATGCTTTATGCCTTGTTAACCCATGGGTGTAAACCACAGGATTCCTAAACTTATTCCCCACATCAAAGAAAAGTTGAATTACAATGAGAGAAGCAAAGAAGCAAAACGTGGGACACACAGTCCCTTCCTCACCCTTGTCTTGTGGACGGGGTAGGATTTAGGTATGGATATGTTTTTGATAGCCTTAGCGATTTGGTGTGATTGTTGTGGTTTGTTTGTTAGAATGGTTTTTAATGCCAGAGGGCCAGGCAGCGTGGCCAAGTGAAGCTGTTAACCTGATTCCAGGGGTGGAGGTCAGGCCTTAGGGAAACCATGGGTCCTCTGTTTGTGACATTACTATTGGAAAAGAAGCACCCAGATGCCAGGAACTGGTTCAGGGACCAGCACAGAGTCAGTGTGTATCGTGGCTAATAACAATAATATGACAGAGTCATTCGAACAGGGAAATTCTGGAGCACAAAGTTGTGGACTTGTGTATTCTTTCAGGACGTTCAGCATGCTGATATTGATTACATGGATGAGAGGAAGGATTTCACTTACGATCCAGTAAATTTTAAAGGCTTCCCTGAGTTTGCTAAGGAGTTGCACAGTAACGGACAGAAACTGGTCGTCATTGTGGTACGTGCTGTCCCTTTTCCTCCAGGTCAGGTTCTTGCTACGCCTTGTCATTACATCCACCCCCCTCTCCACCGCCTCCCAGTTCCCAACCTCCTTCCCATGTCTTGAGCTTGAGACTGGGTCCTTCATTGTATTTTTCCTTTTCTTAGGATCCAGCCATCTCCAACAACTCTTCCCCAAGCAGTCCCTATGGCCCGTATGACAGGGGTTCGAACGCGAAGATATGGGTGAATGCTTCAGATGGGGTGACTCCACTCATTGGGGAGGTAACTGAAGGGGGAGGTGGGGGCTGGTGCTGGCAGAGGGGCTGTGGCAGTGTGTGTGTGTGTGTGTATGTGTGTGTGTGTGTGTATAGTTGTCTTGTTGGACACTTTCAGATGCCTTATACATGCGGGGGATAAACTTGCCCCTGTTGTCTTAACCCCAGACGCCTATCAGCCATCTAACTCATTCCTCTCACAGCCAAGGCCCTTTAAACAGTAGCCTGCACACTGAATACCCTGTCCCCACCCTCACACCCCTTCCCTCCAGCTGACTGCAGGCGGCTGTCCTCTCCTCCATGTCACTGGTGCTGCCCCGACAGATGTCACCACGTACCTCCTAACCACCACATCCAATGGAACCATTTCATTCCACTTTGTACTCTGTTTCTTTGTAGCGTTTCACCGGTTTGACTACTTCTGCTTCAAACTTTTGCATGTCTATGTTTTCACAAGAGTGTTGTTTGTTGGTTCACTTCTTTTTTTTTTTCTTTTTTTAAATTTTTTTCTGAGAGAGAGAGAGAGAGAGAGAGACAGCATGAGCAGGGGAGGGGCAGATAGAAGGAGACATGGAATCTGAAGCAGGCTCCAGGCTCCGAGCTGTCAGCACAGAGCCCGACACGGGGCTTGAACCCACAAACTGTGAGGTCATGAACTGAGCCGAAGTCGATGCTTAACCAACTGAGCCACCCAGGCACCCCTCTTTTTTTTTTTTTTTTTTTTAGAGAGACAGAGAATGTGAGTCAGAGCATGGAAGAGACAGAATCTTTTTTTTTTCCAACTTTTTAAATATTTATTTATTTTTGAGAGAGAGACTGAGAGGGAGTGTGCATGAACAGGGGAGGGACAGAGATAAGGGAAGAAAGAATCCCAAGCAGGCTTCATGCTGCCAACATGGAGCCCAATGCAGGGCTCAAACACACAAACTGTGAGATCATGACCTGAACCAAAATCAGGGGTTAGATGCTCAACTAACTGAGCCACCCAGGCCCCTCCCTCCCCCACAGAGAGCAAGAATCTTAAGCAGGGTGGAGCCCAATGCATAGATCATGACTCTGGGATCATGACCTGAGCCTAAATCAAGAGTCAGATGCTCGGACTGAGCCACGCAGGTGCCCCTCTGCTGATTCACTACTTCTTCTAATTCTGGGTTGTTTTTTTTTTTTTTTTTTTTTTTTTTGTCCTGCTTGTTCACTTCTAATGCCTCTGCTGCCCCTAGTGCAGAGTGTCACAGAGAAAGTGCATACAGGGAATACAGAAGAGGAATTGATGCTGCGAACCCACAACTTGTTGACATTTTGATAGGACTCTCCTGCATTTGCTGTCCCAGGGTCTGGGCCTAGACAAACTGAGAGGGAACAGTGAAGCAGAGGTCAGAGGTGAAGATTAATGAGACAGGCCATACTAGGTCCATGGATTCATTCATTTTAGGACTTAACCATTTTTTATTATTTATTTATTTATTTTATTAAAATTTTTAAAATGCTTTTTCATTTATTTTTGAGAGAGAGAGAGTGTGTGTGAGTGGGGGAGAGACAGAGAGACACACACAACATCCAAAGCAGGCTCCAAGCTTTAAGCTGTTAGCACAGAGCCCGATGCAGGACTTGAGCCAAAAACTGCTAGATCGTGATCTGAGCCGAAACCAGACACTTAACCAACTGAGCCACCCAGGCGCCCCAAGGGCTTAACCATTTTTTAAACTACATTTTTCCTCAAGTGACCAATTGAGTCCTTCTGATGTTTACACACATCCAGAGTGCTACACATTCCTAACTGGAAAGAACTTGTACCTGGACACTGCGATTGCCGAGATCATATTAGGAATCTCCGCAAAGTACTCTGTTTTATTTTATATTTATTTAATTGACTCTGATCAATGTTTTTCTTTTTCTCCTGTAGGTCTGGCCTGGAAAAACTGTGTTTCCTGATTATACCAACCCCAACTGTGCTGTTTGGTGGGCAAAGGAATTTGAGCTTTTCCACCAGCAAGTGGAGTTTGATGGAATCTGGATTGTGAGTTCTTAATACTTCTGAATATTCAGTAAAATATTAACATGGTGTATATCTTTATCATTGAGTCAAGGAAGATACTGGGAATAGGAGGAAGGAATATGGCAAAATTTTAATATTCTCCTCAATCCTGGTATGTAAATAATCTTATCAAAACATGTAGCTTAGGATCTAAATCAGATCGTCAGACCTGGAAGTAAAATCTGAAATTAGTCCTTTATTTTCTGAGTCTAACTCTTTTAAAAATGAATGAGCTGAAAGAAGTAAAACTAGGTCATAGATGCCTTACATTGTCGCAAAGTACACAGATTGTTTGATTCCCAGTTTGGGGCTCTTTCATTTGGACACACTGGACAACTTGGTCAGAACCAAAGTACCCAGGTGCATGACCAAACTGACAGCCAGCTGTGGTAAGGACAAATGTCACATATAATACCAAAGGAAACCAAACACAAAGCAGCAGATGTTCAGCAAAATTGGGGGGGCTCTAGAGTTAAACTTTTTTCTATTTATAAGAGAAATGTAGAAAATTCTAACAAGACAGAAAGCTAAAAAGATGAAGGCAAAAATCCTCTAAAATGTTACAAGCCAAAGACATCTTTCATCGACGTTTTGGTGTGTATGTTCCTGGTCCCCTCAATTGCCCAGCTGTTGGCACAGGCTTGTCCTCTCACTCTCTCCAAATAGGTGTGTGTGTGTGTATGTGTGTGTGTGTGTGTGTGTGTGTGTGTGTGTGTGTGTGTGTATGGAGTGATATGTGTGTGTATTCGTTGCTAAATTTGGATATATAGAGAATGTGTAAGTTGATATATATGGAATGATATAAATTGAAATCTTTTTTCGCCTAATGTTTTTGGAAACTTTTCATTTTTTTTGTAATTATAGACATAGTGTTTTGAAGGGATTTTGAGAACTTTCTCGGTGAAAACTTCAATGGGTAGAGAAGACAGGAGCTTCTGTTTCCCTCCATGTGCAGAAGAACTGTTTAAAGAAGAAATATCTGGATCATTTCTTGGATTCCTCAAAAAGGGGGAGACAAACATCAGTACAACATAAGGGGGCATGTTACCTTTCCTTAGTGGTAGTTTTGTTCTTTGTCTCGTAGGATATGAATGAAGTCTCCAACTTCGTTGATGGTTCTGTTTCAGGATGTTCCACAAGCAACCTAAATTATCCCCCATTCACTCCCAGTAAGTCTTGGGGGTAGTATGATTAAAGTGGCAATGCATATTTGGCATTATTAATCCATAAGGACAGATATGAAGAATCCAGCAAGGGAGTTTGGACATAAATGTGCACAGGGAGAGGAAAATGTGAGTAATATATACAGGAGATTAGGAAAGAAAAATCGAAGCACACCATGCTTTCCTAAATGAGGTATAAATTCACAGTGGGCCGTCTGGTGTTTCTACCTACAGTCAGAGCTATTTCTAGGGGGAGGTCAAGAGAAGATCCAGTGCAGAAGCCAGAGGCTAACAGTTAGTTTGTGTTGCTCTCAAGTACATATGCCTGAAGGTCAGGGCTTACCAGAGAGAGAGCAGATACTGGGTGTGGTCTATGGATGAGGGTGAAGTCCCGTGATTTCAAGAGTGTGAAGAACAGACATGAACTGTAGGAAGAAGAAAAAACCAGAATCCATGGCCTTGAAGATCAAAGTCAGAGTCCATGACTGTGATGCTAGTGAGCTCTGATTAAACTTTGAACAACACCAATCAATGCTTAGGGTATGGCCCTAGAATTACGGCATTCATTGTAGTTTGAAGAAAGCTAGAGGCTCACAGACATATTTTAACTTGATTAAGGTAAGAATGAGGTGCTAGCATTATAGCATCTTTTGAATACTTCCAATCTGGTGAGAAAAGAGGACAATGTGGGTATCTGGGAGGCTCAGTCAGTTGAGCGACTGACTTGATTTCAGCTCAGGTTGTGATCTCATCATTGTCGTGAGATCAAATTCTGAGCTGGTGAGAGTCAGCTTAAGATTCTCTGGGGCACCTGAGTGGCTCAGTTGGTTGAATGTCAGACTTAGGCTCAGATCATGATCTCGTGATTTGTGAGTTCAAGCCCCGCGTCAGGCTTTGTGTTGACAGCTCAGGGTCTGGAGCCTGCTTCGGATTCTTTGTCTCCCCCTCTCTCTGCCCCTCCCATGCTCATGCTCTGTCTCTCTCAGTAGTAAGAAAACATTAAAAAAAAGAGAGAGAGATTCTCTCTCTCCCTGTCTCTCTGAGCCTCCCCATCTCATGCTTTCTCAGTTTCTCTCTTCCAAAAAAAAGAAAAAGAAAAAGAAAAAGAAAAAAATAAGAAATTGGGGCAAATGGGCCAGGGATTTGGATGGGGGGCTAAAGACTTAGCACTTCATTCTTTTGGTGATGGAACTATTTATGTTTTTAGTCTAAGGAAAATATGATAGTTAAATGGTTTTGGAAATATTAATCTGACATTAGTGTGCCGTATGAATTAGAAGATCAGTCGATCAGAAGTCGATCAGTTTCTTAATCAGCCATTAAGAAACTATTACAGTAGTTAAGATGCAAAGGTAATTTGGACTGGAATCAGAATGGTACAATGGGAGCAGAAAAGAATAGGCGCATGAAAGAGATTGGGGAGTCAGCCTTTATACTATCTTGTCAGTGGGGACAAGGAGTGAACCATGAATTTACACTTTCATCCAACATTTCTATTCTCAGACCACGTAATTTGGCTCAGTTTGAAGAATTCTGATTAAGTCTTGAGTCTAATCGAATCCTCCGGCTTCCAAATGCCTGCCTGTAGTCACACAAGCACGTGGGGTAGAAGAATGTGCATGGGTTGGCACAATTTATTTACATATCACAAAAACTGCTGCAAATGTATAACCTTCTGGCAATGTGGAAGCTGTATGATCCTTTACAGGATGGCCACAATAAACCCCAGAGTGCCACCGTTTCAGGTTCTGGAATAGTTAAGGCGCACGGAAGGTGCATCTCAGGCCATCATTGACTGGTCCCTGTTTTGCCCCAGGGATCCTGGATGGGTACCTGTTCTGCAAGAGCCTCTGCATGGACGCGGTGCAGCACTGGGGCAAGCAGTACGATGTCCACAATCTGTATGGCTACTCCATGGCGATTGCCACCGCACAGTAAGGCCACTGTTGCTATGAACTTAATACACAATCGAGTTATTGATCTTGTTAGATGCCAGGTGCCAATGTGTTGTTTTTAAAAACTCTGCAAGACAAATATGGTTATTAATACTGAATGAATGAATGAATGAATGAAGAAACTCCCTGGCCCACAGGGAAGAAGAAATCTGACAAATATTTGTGGAATGTATAAAATGAAAGGATGGATGAATAAATGAATGAATGGATGGTTGGAAGAAATAAAGAGAAATAACCTGACCAAGGGCAAACAGTTGGCACATTTTAAAAGCAAAATTTAAACCCAGTTTTGCATGAGACCAAGGCCCATCTATTTTCCCCTGTGCTACACTGTATAGACTGGGAGGGGGTGTGCCTCAGGGTTTTAGATACTAGCTCAGCATCCTTCTACTGGGCCATGTCCACCTTTGTGTATAGACTCAAATTCTACAGTGAGGAGTATGTCCTGAGAATTTACTGTACTTACTGTAATGGCGGCAGCAGGAAGCCAGACCAAAACCACATTTAGTCATTAGCAAAATCATAGCATAAGTTTAGCTTCCTTGAAAGATGTTTAAAATGTTATAGAGCAAAAGTTTTTAAATATATGCACAGACTTCTAAAATATAGATGATATATATATATAGTTACTTATAAAAGTACCTACATGTGCATCTATACATTTAAAACCTCTTCATATTACAAAATTGTGAGCAAAGTGTTTCTACTTCAAAAGATTTTCAGTTCCAAAAGGCTGTTTGTAAGTTCATTGGTTGGTGTATGTTTAAAATCACACAGTGTGAAAGATCCATGGACGTACGTCTAAGTAAAGTTAGATTTCACCTTTGTCCCATAAAAATTTTATACCTCTAGTTACTAACCTTTTCAAGGCTGCTTTTAAAACTCTTGGACATTACGAATGTAATAATGTACATAAAACACCCTAAGACAAAGCAAAGCAAAATGTGTACATACTTAAAGGTGCAGTCTGCTTCCACAGCATCTCTGACCCTACTAGGACGGAGCTGAAAGAGAACGAGGTATGAACTTTTTAGATCCTCAGCATTGTCACTGTATCTGCCAGGTTGAGATGCACTAAAGTCACATGTTGACTACTTAAGTTTCTCTCCCTTTCCAGAGCTGTCAATACCGTGTTCCCTAGTAAGAGAAGCTTCATTATAACCCGTTCGACCTTTGCGGGGTCTGGCAAGTTTGCAGCCCATTGGTTAGGAGACAACGCGGCCACCTGGAATGATCTCCGCTGGTCTATCCCTGGCATGCTCGAGTTCAACCTTTTTGGTATCCCAATGGTGAGTCCACATCCCAACCTCAATTCCCAGAAAGCCTCAGCCTAGAAAATTGTCAAAGCATAAAGCTCACCTGTCCTACCCTTCCTGGCCCAGGGATTTAATGTCTTGAGAACAATGGCTTCATCACATCAGTATGGCTCTGATACTACAACATTCTTTCCTGCAGTGTCTTATTAAGATAGAAAGTACAACCTTGATATGGTATCATTGGAATATTCTTCTATCAAAGTATAACATGCACACAAAAAAGTACACATACATTTTTAAGTATATAGTTGACGAGTTTTACAAGCTGAATACATCTGTGTATCCAGTACCCAGAGGAGAAAACATGACATCGCCAGGTCCCTAGAGATGGTTTTGATATCTTTTAGTTAAATTCAACATACGTATTTATGGAGCTCCTACTGTGTGCAAGGTACTAAGCTAGGTGAGCATAGTGAGGGTAGAGAAAAGTATGTTTTCTAGTTCCCCTAAAAGTTTGCAATTTATATGTGTGTGTGTATATATATATATATATATATACACACACACGCACATATATAAAATAATGTATGCTTACATATATTTATATATTATAAATAATTACATATATAATAATGATAAATATTTATATATTATTTATAAATATATATACAAATAATTATGACAAGCTCAGGACATATAAATTAAGCTTTGAGGGAAATCCTGAGAAAGAAACTTATTAATTCTGACAAAATTACAAGGAACACAGGGAATCAGGGAAGGGAGTTGGGGGGAGAAGCTTTATGGAAAATGTTACACTTGAGTTTACCCTTGAAAAGTGTGTTTATGTTATCAGACTCATGGGAAGGTCATTTTACGATTGAGAAAGAAACATGAGACAAAGCAGTCTTGAGGAGAGTTTGATGCATCTCTAAGGATTGGTTTGTAGGACAGGAGTGGTAAGTGATGCTAGAAAGGTAGGTTGGAACCACATTTTGAGGAGCCACTAGCTCACCTGTGAGGAGGCCCTGGAGAGTTTTGAATAGGTGAGTGAGACGGAATCAGATTTGGGCTTTGGAAAGTTAATTCTGATAGTGGTGTGGTCAAATTAATAATATCAACAGTATTTCTCATTCTATTCATCAAAAAGCTATTGTATGTCAAGTGTTTTACTTATATTATCCACATTATAGTATCTCATAAAACCCCGTGTAGCTAATAATGACCACTTTAACCCAGGGAGGAACTCACAGTCATCTGACAGTGAAGAGGGGACATGGGATGTAACCCATTTCTGATCACACTACATAAGTCTTCTCTGTAAAAGGTGGCACATTTCAGTCGGGAGCAGGATGATGGAAGTGTCTTTCCAGGTGGGTGCTGACATTTGTGGCTTTGCACTGGACTCCCCTGAGGAGCTCTGCCGTCGGTGGATGCAGCTGGGAGCATTTTATCCATTTTCTAGGAATCACAATGGCCAAGGCTACAAGGTGAGTCTCCCAGGAGACACGATCCAAATAAACTTGGCACACATCAGAGCTGGGTCTGTCAGCGACCTCCTCCCTGGCGCTTCACTTCGCCTAACTCGCCGTTAACCAGGGCCTCCGACGATGGCCATTAACATGCCCTGATGTCACAGGCTCTGCTATTGGCACTGCTGCATCGAGGAGATGGCAAGTCTGGGAAGGATTTTATCAAACGTCTGTGTGTTCGATCTACTTTGCTCATTTTGTAATGAGATTCAAATGGGGGAAACTTAAAAACGATTGAAAGGGCGTACTTAGCAATCCTAAGCATGATTGAGGCTGGACGAGCTGCGAGGTGAAGGGCACTTACTTGGTGAAATGATCTGCCCCTGCCCGCCTGTACTGCCCAGAGGCGAAGCTGGCACCGTAGGCCCCAGGTCCTCGGGAACGAAACTCATGGTTCTGATGAATGAGGTGTGGAGTTCTCCAGTTGCTTCTGTCATTCGTAGCTGGATCATAATCGCAACCTCTCCTTCCTCCCAGGCCCAGGATCCTGCCTCCTTTGGACCGGACTCCCTGCTATTGAATTCCTCCAGACACTACCTTACCATCCGCTACACCCTGTTACCCTACCTCTACACTCTCTTCTATCGGGCCCACAGCCGGGGCGACACGGTGGCCAGACCCCTTATGCATGAGTAAGTTCTCCTAATCCAAAGAATTTTATTTAAAAAAAATTTTTTTTACTGTTTATTTATTTTTGAGAGAGAGAGACAGAGTGCAAGCAGGGGAAGAGCAGAGAGAGAGACAGTGAGACACAGAATCTGAAGCAGGCTCCAGGCTCTGAGCTGTCAGCAGAGCCCAGCGTGGGGCTCGAACTCACGAACTATGAGATCTTGACCTGAGCTGAAGTTGGACACTTAACTGAGTGAGCCACCCAGGCTCCCACAAAAGGATTTTGTTAATGCAACTGGTGACGTGGACTGTTTCATCAAATATTGGAGTGAACAGTGAAATACTTCTTTTTTTAATGGGAATAGTCCATTGGTATTTGCAAGCCTAGTGCTGCCTACATACTATTCCTGAGGTATATATGTAGATGTAGATATAGATGATATAGATATAGATATAGATATAGATACATACGTATACATTTTCCTGAGGCATATATGTAGATATAGATATAGATACATAAGTATATGTATTCTTGAGATATATACATTTTCCCCGAGGTACATTTAAGTGTTTTAGCATCTTCCCTTGGGGATAGTAGACCAGTATCATGGGACTTTGGGGTCATTTCTTTGTTCTGCCACCAACTCTTTATCTTAGACCAATCACTGAAGTTCTGTCATCCTTCATTTCTTGATTCTTAGTTCAGAGGATTTGAGAGCTTGAACACGATGGTCTCTCCTGTAATGTCCTATGTTCAGGCCCTGGGATGAACCTGTCATTTATACACAAATAAGACTTTTACAGAGGATTTCTAGAATTCCAGCATTTCTACTGCCAGCCAGTGAGCATCTCCAACTAAACTCTAAAAAGGGCACTGAAGAAGCTTTCCTTGTCAAATTGCAGGGAACTCCCTTAGGTGTCTGATGTTCTAGACCCTCAGGCACATATCTTCCATTATTACTATTATTATTGTTGTTATTATTGTTACTCCTATTATTATACATTCATTATTTTCAATCAGTGTTTACCATCTCCTGGAATTCCCTGTTAAAAGGCAGATACCCAAAAAGAGAAGAAAGCAGAATTTTATTATCTGCTATTTGTTGTGATCACATCCAGTTCCTTCTTGATAGTCAGCTGAAGCTTTAAGCTGTATTGCTTATTTTACTTTTATTGCTTTTAAAGGGGCGTGTGACGAATAGACTTGTAGCCTGGGCCCTGCCTAGCATATGACCTGGAATAAGCATCTGTGTCCAGCCCGGGGGAGACGAGGAGGGTGCATGGGTTGGGGAGCGTGGGTCTGTCTGCCAGAGCACCAGAGGTGGCTGTAGAGAAGGTGTCCCAGAATAACTTAGGAGGTTACCGCAGGCAGGCAGCCCGCATGTTTTGGACAGTTGCGGGGAGAGATGTCAGGAAGCATTGGCCCAGATCTCAGTGAACGTCTCTCTGATCTCCAGGTTCTACAGGGACAGCAACACGTGGGATGTGCACCAACAGTTTTTATGGGGACCTGGCCTCCTCATCACTCCAGTTCTGGAAGAGGCAGGTGTCACACAGAGGCACGCAGATGGCCTCCGCCTCTGTTCCTGTTGCCCTCCAAACTCTCCTCTTCCTGGAACCATCTATCTTCTTTTTATCCCAAGCACGTTTCCAGCCTCCATGGCTGAGTCGGCCTTGAAGACAGTGTGCTGAGGTTTGGGGAAATTGGGGTTCTGTTACTTACATATATTTTTCTGAGTCTTTTTTCTTGACCAAGATTCCAACCAGTGTAGAAGCATCTACTGGTGACTCTGGGTTTATGGATGGTCCTATTCGTCATTAGATTCTCACAGCTCCTTGAGGTTGAGGCAGAATGGAGCAGAGGCCCAGCACCCTCTCTAACGTTGGATGGAATCGGGGTGTGATCGCTGCCTCTTCCTCTTAGCACCAGGTGGTCCTGGGCTGGTTCCTCATCTGGAAACGTGGGATCATGAAAGTACCTGCCACTGGGGACAGTTGGTAGGATTTCACAAGTTAATGTAAAGCTGGAATTTTGGCCACAACATGTATTTCAATATTATTATTATTATTCCTAATGTGATTCCACTGGGATTTTTCTTTGTGTTCCCAAGTTATTGCTTCTATTATTCCTATTAGAAGAAAGGCATGATTTGGTAACAGAGGAAAGAAAGGCTGTTTATGCTCTCTCAGAATATGGTGAAGAAGCTTCCTTGGGAATGCTAAGAAATTCATTTTATCCCCTTCAGCGGCTGCACCACGAAGAACAACATTTTGTTTTAATTTCAGGGTGCAGAGAAAGTGACGGCATATATGCCCGATGCCATCTGGTACGATTATGAGACTGTAAGTAGCTTTAACTTTTATTAATTCCTCATGACCACAGCTGCATAGACAGGGTGCCTCCCTGGAGAGAGGAACATCTATCCATGCACCGAAGAGTGTTTTTGATGGGTTTTCTGTAATTTCATAGCATAAGTCACTTAATGTCAGTCATGATGAGATCTGGAAAAAAACACTTTCATATACTTCATTCAACCTTAAGATAAGGGCAAATGGTGGAGGGCACCACGGGGAATTTCAGCTTGGTCAGGAGTCAGCTGAGTTGTTTAAAACTATCAGTTGATATGCGGCCTATGAACTGGCATAAATGCTCCCCCAAATTCCCAAGTGATGGCAAACACTATTGTTCTTAATTGTTTTTCCTTCCTCTTGTTCAATTGCCTGACTAGACAGTGACTCAGCTGGGTGGGAAAGGAGGGAGCTGTAGATAACTCAGCACCTGGAGAAGGAGGGGCACGGATGTGCTGTGGTAATAACGTGCTTGATTTGTGTGCCTGCCTCAGGGGGCCCGGGCGAGATGGAGGAAGCAAAGAGTGGAAATGGAACTTCCTGGGGACAAAATCGGACTTCACCTCCGCGGAGGCCATATATTCCCCACACAACAGCCCGCTGCTACCACGGTGGCCAGGTACAGTGCGGCCAGAGTTTCCTCTAAGCGGGAGGCTGCTGATAAAGCTGGTCATTGCCGTCCCCATCTGTCGCCCATGCAGAAGCTACCTGGCATGTAGGGAGGAAGGGGGTGGGGGTGGGAGGGGGTGGTCCTCAAACACTGTCCCTTGCATTTCCCTCAGCCTTTTCTGAGGAAGTTGTGATTTATAAGATGGATTTTGAAAGCACTTAATCCCTGTTCTTTCTTTCTTTTTTTTTTTTTTTAATGTTTTATTTATTTATTTCTGAGAAAGCAAGAGAGAGGCAGTGGAGGGAGGGGAGCAGAGGAGGGTCAGAGAGAGAGGGAGACACAGAATCTGAAACAGGCTCCAGGCTCTGAGCTAGCTGTCAGCACAGAGCCCGATGCGGGGCTCGAACCCACGGACTGTGAGATCATGACCTGAGCCGAAGTCGGCCGCTCAACCAACTGAGCCACCCAGGCTGCCCTCCCTTTTCTTTCTTAAACCCCCTGCATTCCTCCTCAAAAGACACTGCCTGCTGGGGTGGTCATCCTTGCTGGTTCCCAGGACCACTTGTTTTCGGACTGAAAGTTTCATGTCTCAGGAAGCATCTCATTCTGGCAAACGGGGACTGTGATCATCCTACCTGGCTGGCCAGATCACTCATCCATCGTTCTGTGCTCTTGACTCATTCACCTTCATTTCTAGGGACAGGGAGTCCACTTTCCATTCCCCTATAATCTCAATTCCCCATTTCTTTCCTCCCACAAGCCGTTTCTTTTTTATGATGCAAAGCAAAGTTCAAAAATTACTTGTTCACTTCAAATCACCCTCATACCCCTGATTTCTCCGTTCTAACTCTGATTCTGAAAGTATAGACTCCATCTGTACTAAAGAGGTACACAATCCTATCTGTCTCTAAAAGTATTAGCTTATTTGTTTTTAACAGACTGGGAGTTCTTTGGAGGTTAGAAATCTTTCTTTTCCTTTGAACTTTCCTTACTGCCTTAAATTTTCAAATTGCATACATTTTTAAATGATACTTCTACATCTAATACCAAATGGATTCTTTTTCTCTAGCCATTCAGCTTCAGGCTGTTCTGCATAGTGATACTAAAATTATCATACCAAGATGAAGATTTTTGACTTGTTACTCTCTTGCATGAAGTCCAAACTCTTTCATGAGTAAGAGTGTTCAAGGCCATTCACAATCTGGTTCCAAGTTAGCTACTGTGCCTCCTGATGCCTTGGAAGGCACACCTACAGACCAGCCACGCCCCAAATCTTGCGGGTCCCCAGACATACCCCTCTATCCAACTGTGTTTGGGCTTCTGCACTTACTACCCTCTCCAACATCCTTTGCCCGATACCTTCATAATGACTCTCCAAAGATTTCGTCTGCAAGAAATCTTCCTCAACTCTTCCAGCAGAGGGAGTGCTGCCGCTCCAAACTTTTAAAATACTGTTTTGTATACTTTTAATTATGTTTTGCTCTTTAGCTGATTTTTTTCTTTCCTTCTTTTTTTTTTTTAATGTTTACTTATTTTTGAGAAAGAGAGGCAGAGCTTGAGCGGGGGAGGGACAGAGAGGGGGAAGACACAGAATCGAGCAGGCTCCAGGCTCTGAGCTGTCAGCATAGAGCCCAACGTGGGGCTCGAACCCATGAGTGTGACATCATGACCTGAGCTGAAGTTGGATGCTTAACTGACTGAGCCACCCAGGTGCCCCATCCGTCTTAATATTTTTAAGCATTTAGATCATAGTTACTTTACACCTTGTATTTGAGAATTCTATGATCTAAAATCCTTTGGAGAATCAAATTATTTTTCATTGTTTTTGCCAACTCTCTTTCATGCTGACTTATTACCTTGTGTGCTAAGTAATTGTTGTGTATGTTTCGAATGTAGTGATCTTAAGGATCCAAAAAAAGGACCCTCCAGAATGGATTTGCCCATTTCTTCAGTTGTGAGTCAGGACTGCTGTCAACTTGAGGCCATCTTAAACTCCCTTCAAAGACCATGTGTTGGGTGGGTCTTTCAGGGTGTCTAGTGTCCTTCAGATTATCTAGTCCACCACACGGCTGGAAGTGTCATTCTGGACTCCTATAAGTCTTCCAACTTTTGTGTCACTCTTTACTTTCTGCCTGGATTATTTAGTGAATATCTTCCTTATGACATTTAAGGTCATCCATCAATAGAGTTGTGATCTATTCATCTTCCTATCCCTTAGACTTGCTAACAAACGAAAGCTACTTCATATATATGTGTTGAGTGAAAGCAGGTGATTTGGTTGATAACAGAACCTGACTTGCATAGGGCACAGTGGAGGGCTGACATGTGAAAGGAGAGAAAATGTGAGGTCAGTGATGGACCAGGGATTCCATATGAAATGGCTCTCTTTCCCCATCCTTCTCCATGCCTATCTACTTCACCACCTTTTTGAGTCATGTTTTGTGCTTCATACTCTAAAGTATGAACCAGAGAACTATAGGGTTTGATTTTGCTCTCAAAATGAAATAATAATCAATAATCAAATTAGGAAAGTTGCCATTAAGCCTTACTGAATTTTATTGCTTTCTGAGTCAAAACGGCTCTTAGGCGGGGAAAACAAATATATCCCCCCCAACCATAGTTAATACATCCCCTGCACGAATCATCTCTAAAATTAGGCTGAACCAATTATTGTCTAGGATCTCCTTCTCTTCTAATGGTCTGTTTTCTAAGGAATAGTTGCATCAGCAACTTTTATAGTAGCTATTGCAGTAATTCTGGCACTTAAATCCTGGCCTCCTACACGGATGCTTATTGCTAATGTTTGCAGTATTTCTGTCTCCTGTGATGTTATTGATTCTAGAGAAAGAGGCACCTGTTGATTTTGCTTTTGTGCCTGGAGAAAACCCAAGCCATCTGCTGCTAGTAACCTTTCCCATTTGAAATCTCATGGAAACATTCCCCGCTCGTTTGCCCAAGTTCTTTGAGTCTTAAGTCTTTGTCTCCCACCTAAACCTTGTCTCCCACAGTCGACGGAACCCTCTTGGTCTCATCATCGCCCTGGATGAGAACAAAGAAGCCAAAGGCGAACTTTTCTGGGATGATGGGGAAACTAAAGGTAAGCACTGTTATGACAACGTGCATCTGTGAGTTATGCCCTCTGGCCATTCAGCCATGGAAGAGGTCTCACCAGGCACAGCAGTGTTCATCACTCAAGACGAGAATTTTGGTTTCAGTTGCACTGTACACAGATAGTGGTAGAGCGACCACAGACAGAAGGAAAATACGTTTCTACCTTTTAGCATGCTTCCATCAGACAAGCCGTATATACAAGCTCTCATTTTATTGTCAACAGGCAACTGCAAGAGGTGTTTTTGAGACTATTCCTGCCATTCAGCAGAGATCTCTTCCCCCAAATACTTCTGCACAAATGTCAGTGATAGGAAACACATACCCATGCCAGTGAGGCAGAGTGAGACTATGTTCTTCTCATGTGCCTGGATCTGGCTGTGTTTCTTAGCACATTTTTCTGGCTCCAATATACTAACAACTCTTGTGGCTGAAGCTTAGGCAGTAGAGTCACTCCTGAGGCATATGCTTTAGAAGCACTTGGAAGGGAATCTTTTCAAGGGTAAGGTAGGAAGGAAATGGAGAATGGCAGCCTGGCCTCAGACTCTGTCTACAATCTTGCCATTCTCAGGAGGTAGCTTTCAGTGCAGCCAGGGTGAGATCTGTTCTCGGCGGGCAGGCCAGAGGCCTACTCATCTTTCTTTCACCTGCAGATACTGTGGCCAATAAAGTCTATCTCCTGTGTGAGTTTTCCGTCACCCAGGCAAGTAGCATATCTTTATGAATCCTAGGTGTGGGCTTTGTCTGACCATTAGCGCATGTATGTGTGTGTGTGTGTGATTGTTATTTATAGCTTCATATGCCCTTATGACTGTAGACGAGCACATTTCGTTTTGTTTTTGAAAATAAAAGAAATTTATTTTTTAAATTATTCTTAAAGTTTTTTTAATGTTTATTTATTTTTGAGAGAGAGAGGGCACAAGCAAGGGAGAGGCAGACAGAGGGAGACAGGATCTAAAATGGCCTCTACTCTGACAGTAGAGAGCCTGATGCAGGGCTCAAACTCACAAGTCAGACACATACGACTGAGCCATCCAGGTGCCCCTATTTTTTAAGTTCTTATTTTATTATTTTTAAAATATTTTTAATGTTTATTTATTTTGGGGGGAGAAAGAGAGCACGAGTGAGGGAGAGGCAGAGAGAGAGAAGGAGAAACAACCTGAAGCAGGCTCAAGGCTCCAAGCTATCAGCACAGAGCCTGATAGGGAGCTCAAACCCATGAACCACGAGATCATGACTTGAGCCAAAGTCAGACACTTAACTGACTGAGCCACTGAGGCTCCCCTTAAGTTTTTATTTTAATTCCAGTTAGTTCACATACAGTGTTGTATTAGTTTTAAGTGTTCAATATAATGATTCAACAATTCCGTATATCACCCGGTGCTTAGATGAATGCATTTCAACTTATGACTTAACTCCCAACATTGAATCATCCATGTTAGTAAAAAGAGCAATGATATGGATAAATCAAAGTCATCAGCCTTTTAAAATACAGTTTAAAAAACGTTCTCAGGGCGCCTGGGTGGCTCAGCGTGTTAAGTATCCGCTTTAGGCTCAGGTCCTGATCTCGCAGTTCGTGAGTTCAGGCCCCGCATTGGGCTCTAGTGCTGACAGCTCAGAACCTGGAATCTTCTTTGGATTCTGTGTCTCCCTGTCTCTCTGCCCCTCCCCCACTTATGCTGTCTCTCTCTGTCTCTCAAAAATAAATTTTAAAAAAATTTAAAAGAAATTTCTCTCTCTCTCTTTGCTCAGGGGAGTATTAAAATAAATTTGTACTCCTTGAGCTCACATGAGTAGAAACAGCTAAGGGGCATTCAAAGCAGTTTTGGGGATCTGGTCTAAGACAGAATATTTGAGTGACTTGACAATCTATAGGCAGACTTTTGTGCTTAATTGTTTTGCAGAACCGCTTGGATGTGAAGATTTTGCAGTCAACCTACAAAGACCCCAATAATTTAGTATTTAAGGAGATTAAAATTCTTGGGATCCAGGAACCTAACAATGTTACAGTGAAACGCAATGGTGTCCCAAGTCAGATTTCTCCTAATGTCACTTATGATTCTAACCTACAGGTAAAAATTCATTTTGTTGAGATAGTTTATCAAGAATTCATAGCTTATGGTGTTCCTTCTTGCCAAAGTTGCCTGGGTCCCTTCTGAAGGACCAGGGCACATTTTGAGGTCTGGGGTGGGGAAGTCAGAGGGTTAGGAGAGGAAAAAAGTAGGCAGTAGACATGAGCTAGATTGGATCAGGGAGGTACTGGAATCAGATAAAATGGCTTTTCCATCCCTATTCTTGTATTTGCCCCCTCAGTCTTCTGTTCTCTCTGACTGGGCCAGAGAGCAAAGTGAGGAGTGTGGGGAGCAGGGTTGGAGGAAAAGCGGGTCTGGATGCTGCTGGCTGAAGCAAGAAAGGCAAAGTGAGAGCTGGGATTCCCATTCATTAAAAATCTGAAGTGCATTTTTTTACATACATTTTAAAGAAATATTTCAAGTCAAATAATCTGATAAGCCTAGCTAATGCTACTTATTTGGTTAGATGATATTAAATAATAATAATAATAAACTTTTCATCATCATCAGTTATGATGAGACCTGACACTTTTGAGCAGGTTGTAATCAGTCCCTCTGGTATCTTATGTTAAGAGGAATCCTTCCCCCATCCTCCTTCACTCCAGGCCCTGTAGGTGATCAGGGAGTGGGGGCTGCTGGGTCAGCATGTTTGTGAGAGACCTTCCAAATCTGGAGTAAATGTGTAAACCTGGTATTCTCCTATAATGGTGTATCGATGATGTTGGCCATTTTGCCTTACAACATATATTGAGGATGCCTACATTGTGAAGTTAGAAATAAAGTACAATTGACCCTTGAACAGCATGGGGGGGTCACTGACCCCCCACACTGTCAAAAATCTGTGAATAACCTTTAGCTCCCCAAATCTTTGCTAATAGCCTACTGTTGACCAGAAGCCTTACAGATAACATAAATTATCGATTAGCACATATTTTGTGTGTCATATGAATTATATACTGTATTTTTACAATAAAGCAAGCTAGAGAAAAGAAAACGTTATTAAGAGAATCATTCAGAAGAGAAAATACATTTACAGTTCCGTACTGTATTTATTGAAAAAAAAATGTGCATGTAAGTGGACACGTGCAGTTCAAACTGGTTGTTGTTCAAAGGACAACTGTATTATATGGTTATTTATGTGGACAGCACAGTGCAAACCATTTGAGGAGTGCATATATGAAAACAAACTCAGTAAATATCTATTAAATAAGTTAATATAAGAACAAAGGAATTCTTAGTGCTTGAATTTGGGTGGTTGGGAGACATAATTTATACCCATAAAACTACCGGGGAAGGGGACAGACAGTCCAAAGCAACACACAGGAAATGTTAACTGATACTAATTTAAACATCAGAGCCCGATGGAGTAGCTGAGCAAAGCCATTGGGAAAGTCAGGGTTTGAGCTGGACTTTGAACGATGGCATATCAGGCAGAGATTCATTCATCTATAAGTGATAGGCAACTGAGCTAAATGGGACTTTAAACAAATTGGAATTTTCTTCCTCACGCAATAACAAGTTTAGAAAGTGGTCAGCTGCTGGCAGTGATCCAGTGGCTCAAGGCTGTCAGAGTTGATTGGAAGAGGCTGCTTAATACCAGTCACTATGGCCCTGTTCCAGCAGAGTAAAAGAAGAAGCAGGAAAGAAAAGGTGGAGGGAAGGAGCAGGCCCTTAAATCAAGAAGGAAATTCTGGGCCAGCAACTCCCAGTGGATATAGGCTTACCTATTAATGGTCACAGCTATGTTACATGGATTAAAAATTTAGTTCTTAGTCAGGAACTTCAATATTCCAAACTGAAATAGTGAGGAAGAAAGGAGCTTTATATAAGGCAGGCACTAGCAATGCATTCCACAACAGGGCACCATTTTCCTAGAAGAGCAGTTGCCTAGATAATGCTTTCAAAGCTGAGATATCAAAATAAGCCAATCTAAGGATTGAGAATAGCCTTACATTATTTAGTCTGTGAGTATTATATAGCTAGAATAGGGAGGAGATTTGTTTGGACAAATAATGTGTGGTTAGATTTGGGAGGGTCTTAGGCACCAAAGAGAGAAGGATCTGATTCTCAAAGTGTGTCATATGGATCCTTGAATCAGGGCTCTGGAGAATGGGATTTGTAGAGCAGGGAAGTTTAAGGTGAATTTAGTCTGAGAAGAGCCCTTGAAGAAGGGTGATTATCCTTAAAATGTGATTTTATAACTCTGGACAAATGCAAACGTTCACTATGGAAACTGCTAATTAAAGAAGAGATAAAAATATGTAGAAAATATTAAATATTTGAATTAGTGGAACTCAAAGAAGTAGGTTTCAGGCTTGAGGCTTTGCTCCTGGAGAAATGAAGAGGTTTGGATGTTAGAAATAGAAGGCACTGTAATGATTTTTCCAACTCCCCAGTTTTGCCTTTGCTGAAACTGAGGGCCAAAGAATTGGAATAATCTGGCTAAGTTTTCACAGCAGAATGGAGCTGAGAACCCAAGCCACATGTTCTTACTCCTGCGTTTTGCCACCACTCCAGACCAAGACGGGATCCTGGTCTGCAAAATGGAGGGCAAGAATATAAGCTCACAAGGTATGACCTCGTGAGCTTGTGCACTATGCTACAAGGGGGAATGCAGAAGACCTTCTTGACCAAGTAATAATGAGGAAGGAGAGCCAGGGAAGGAAAGAAAATGGAGGGGTGATGACAGAAGATTTTACTTGCCCTAATTCCCTTCCGAACATGATGTATAAGATTCGGACAGAGTTGGAACATTGGCTTCCTACTCCCTCCATATAGCTCTCTTTCTAGAAGCTCCAGTGGATTGTTAAGAGTCTGGTCTGGTTTCTATCTCCTCTTCTAATAGAGGTTTGGGATCTTGCGAGGGTTTCGTTCTGAGCATTAATTTCCTTGTCACAATCCCTACAGGTTGCCCTCATCACGGACGTTGATCTTGTCCTGGGCGAAGCATACACAGTGGAGTGGATCCCGAAGATAAGGGATGCAGAAAAAATAGACTGTTATCCCGATGAGACTGGTGCTTCCGCAGAAAACTGTATTGCCCGTGGCTGTGCCTGGGAGGTAACTCTGCTGACAGTGCTAACACACCTCGAATCCACAGCACTTCATCTCTGGCTTCATGCGCACAGCACCAGTCCCTGTGTCACTGCTCAAAACCCATAGATAGGAAAGATTTCCAAAAGAACCTGAGTTTTTATCTGACTGTAAAGAATCGATAGGGACTTCTCTTTTTGCAAGGAGACCAGGAATTTAAACTTAGGTTGCTACCAAAGAGTATCTGAGGCAGGGAGTGATGGTCTGGCTTTGTCTCCCTGTAAATTGCTTTTTTTTAGCCCCCTTATACTTGACCATTCTGGGACCACATGCTGAGCTGACCTTAGCTTTCCATTCCAGGTATCTAGTTCTCCCGGAGTCCCATTTTGTTATTTCGTCAATGATTTGTACTCTGTCGGCGACATTCAGTACGACTCACATGGCGCCACTGCTACCATTTCCTTAAAGTCTTCTTTCTATGCCTCCTCTCTGCCCTCGGTACCTGTGACCTCCCTCCGCGTGCAAGTGACCTACCATAAGAATGACATGCTGCAATTTAAGGTATGTGTTTATAGTACGTCTATGTATCAAGTCCTGGGCAGTTGGCAGTTCCATTACTTGCGCTAGTAAGGTTACAAAATCTAAAATAAGTGTGCCTCTCTAGCTCACCCTGCCCCAATATACTAGATCATTATCCTAGAGCACTGAGAAACCACTGATGGAACAGTGCTATCTGTTCTATTTTGAAAAGATCACTGTGTCTACTGTAAGGAAAATGGTTGGGAGAACAAGAGTGAAAAAGGAGGCTACCAGTTCAGTCATCTGTGTGGGAGACCAAGTATAGATCAGGAATAGGAAAGGAATTGAAAAGGTAGGATCACAGGATCTAGTGATGACTGCAAGTATGTGACAGGGGAGAAGGAGGCATCGAGAATGATCACCACATTTCTGGCATGTGTCTTGGTATGGATGGTGGTGCCATTACCTGGAATGGGAATGCGGGAAAGGCTTGGGCTTGGGCTTGGGCAAAATAAGGTGATGAGTTCAGTTTGGGATGCTGAATTCAGGGTATCTGTGGAATAGCCACAGAAGTGTAGTGATCTCTCTTTTCCTGTGATTTAATCACAACAACCGATTCATGACAGGCTGTTCTTATGACTATTTCTCTATTAAATTGTAAGTTTCTCAAAGACAGGAATTTCTCCATTCATCTTTGTGTTTCTGAAACTTGACATAGATCCTGGTATGTAGTTAGTACTCAGATATTTATTGAGAGAGTAAATGAAAGACATCAGGCATTGCCCAGAAGATTCTTCACGACTTGCTATCAACCTGGACTGTGGGTCCTCTTACATCTTCTAATGCAGGGAAAATGCTCTTTTATATTTTTGTCTGCACCAAAGCACTGGCTTGTGGTAGGTACCTAATGAGTTTGAAGAAAATGAATTTGGTTACATTTCCTGCTTTAATGCTTTCTTAGTCTGCCTCCTGATCATACCAGAGCTCTCTCCTCAGGATTTTTTATTTTTTAAGTTTGTCTTGAGAGAGACAGAGACAGTGGGAGTGGAGGAGGCACAGAGAGGGAGAGAGAGAAAATCCCAACCAGGCTTCACGCTGCCAGCTGTGGAGCCAGATGCGAGGCTCGAACCCACAAACTGTGAGATCATGACCCGAGCCAAAACCAAGAGCCGGATGTTTAACCAACTGAGCCACCCAGGGGCCCCAGGATTTGTCTCTTTTTGACCCTGCTTTAATACTCTGTGCTTTTGCATTTATTTCTCTATCAGGAATGACTCTATCTCCTTGCTGTGTTTGGTTAATAATAGCTGCAAAGTTTTTAACACTCAGCCTGTATTTTTCTCATGATATCTTCTCAGTCTTCCAGTAACTGGGTTAGGCATTTTCTTCTCTATAATCTCACAACACTCCTACGTAGCTCCACATTGGCACATGTCATCACCTGGGTATTGCAGGTACTTCTTTTACCTGCCCTTGGCATGTGAATTTCTTAAAAACAACAATTATTTCTTATTTGATTTAGTGTGTCTAGTGTCCAGTACAGTATTGGGCAGGAGTGAGTAGGCACTCAGTGAAACAATTTAGACCCCATTTTTAGCAAGAACATCTATAATTATTTTAATCAGGTAGAGTTGGTGTTTTTTGATGGATTTTTTTTCAATTCAGAGTAGCTTTCAGATATTCACATACACCTGCACACAAAGTAATAAATAATATATTCATACATACCAAACTGATTTCTAGACTGATTTTTCCAAGATATCACCAACGTCAAAGGGAATGTATTACTGTGAAGGGGCCTTAAAAATGATATATGACAGACTCAGATCAAAATGTTAAGTCTAATATTGTTCTTCGATATGGTAACTAAATTCCTGGTATCATGAGTTTCCAGAAGACAAAGAAATATTAGCATTCATACTCCATGTCAAAGATGCCAAGTTTCTGCTAAGGATATGGTTTTCCAAAGTATTATACTTTCCTAATTTTTCCCCAACTCACCCTAGATTTATGATCCCAACAACAATCGGTATGAAGTTCCAGTGCCTCTCAACATACCCAAGGTTCCATCCAGTACCTCGGAGAGTCAGCTCTATGATGTCCTCATTAAGAATCCGTTCGGAATTGAAATTCGCCGCAAGAGTACGGGCTCTGTAATGTAGGTGGCTCTTAATTGGATTCGGAATTGATGGTTACCTGCACATGCACTGCCAGGCCCATTGTCTTTGGAGATACCCTGGCTTAAAGCATCACACCCTCCATTTCCAGATTTATGAATACGTTACTCCTTTTGGGTGTGTTCTTATGAGAAATCTTTACTCCCCTGGCAATAATTACTGAGGCACTTACATGCACTAGGGAATCATTCAACCAATGTTTATGGGGTGGTTAGTATCTATTATCTCTATATTAGGTGGCTATAGACAACGAGGTCTCTCTTCTCATGCTAAAAATTAATGGCAGATAACAAAGATAATTTAAGTTAAAATATACACAAGGAACTTTAGATAGTGTCAACTGCTGTGTAGAAAAATAATAGGGTAGTCAAGAGTTATGGGGGGGTTGACTGCTTTTGATACTGTGGTCAGAGGAGGGCTTTCAGAGAAGGTGACATTTGAAATAGGACTTGGATGAAAAGGATCCACCCATGTGGATCAGGGAAGGGGAAGAACATGTCAGACAGATGGAAAAATAGGTGCACACGGTCATGAACAGGAGCAAGGTTGCCATATTAAGAGGTGGGGGATGTCCATTGTGGTTGGGGCACATTGTGGTTGGATCGCTCCAGATGTTATGTAGCAAATGGACTATAGAAGAGCAGCAGTGGGACCTCGGGCTGGTGTGGAGAGGTAGCAATGGAAGTGATGACACGTGATGGGATGTGGCATCCTGGAGAGAGAGCTGAAGGGAGGCAGTGGTGGAGGAAAATAGAAGAATGAGGGCTGGCTCCCGGGCTGGTAGCAAGTGCATCTAAGATCATTTTAATCAAAGAGACTTTGTGTTTGTTTGGCAGATTAACGGGGCTCTGGGTGGGAGAGGAATCAAGAGTTTTGTTGTCCTTGCAAACAGGATGTTGGCTGCTTGGAGCCAATAGGATAGCCCATTTCTTTTCCAAATACACCCTTTTGTGTTGCAGCTGGGACTCTCAGCTCCTTGGCTTTACCTTCAACGACATGTTCATCCGCATCTCCACTCGCCTTCCCTCCCAGTACATCTATGGCTTTGGGGAAACTGAGCACACAGCCTTTCGGAGAGACTTGAACTGGCACACGTGGGGAATGTTCTCCCGAGACCAACCCCCGGGGGTAAGGGCAGAGCACTGGGGATCTGTGTCTGCCTCTCTCTTCTCACACCGTGTACACTTCATGCTTCATCTTCCTGGGCTAACCTTCAATGGTCCCATTCTGCATTTAGACAAGAGGGTCGATTTGTTGCCAGCCTCCTTTGTTTTTCATGCATTTAGTTCATTGCATGGACCTTATCAATCATTTTTGTTAAGTTTCTTTCTCAGCCACGCCTTTTAACCTCTTACCACTTCTCCCCCATGACTCCCCCAGTACAAGAAGAATTCCTATGGTGTCCACCCCTACTACATGGCACTGGAGGAGGATGGCAGTGCCCACGGAGTGCTCCTTCTAAACAGCAACGCCATGGGTAAGATGATGCCAGCACCTCCCCTTATTTATGTGAACAAGTCATTCTTTTTATAAAAATTTTATTTAAATCCCAGTTAGTTAACATATAATATAGTATTGGTTTCAGGAATAGAATTTAGTGATTCATCACTTAGACACAACACCCAGTGCTCATCCCAACAGGTGCCCTCCTTAATACCCATCACCTATTTAGCCCATCTCTCACCTCACACCCCTACAGCAACCCTCAGTTTGTTCTCTGTACTTAAGAGTCTCTTATGATTTGCCTCCCTCTCTGTTTTTATCTTATTTTTCCTTCCCTTTCCCTATGTTCATCTGTTTTGTTTCTTAAATTCCACATATGAGTGGTATTTGTCTTTCTCTGATTGACTTTTTTCACTTAGCATAATATACTCTCATTCCATCCACATCATTGCAAACGATAAGTTTTGTTCTTTTTGATAGCTGAGTAATAATTCATTGTATATAAATACCACATCTTCTTTCGCCATTCTTCAGCTGATGGACATTTGGGCCCTCTCCATAATTTGGCTACTGTTGATAGTGAATCAGTCATTCTTGAATACTATTAGAATGTGTTGGACCTAGGGGTGCCTGGGCAGCTCAGTCAGTTAAACATCTGACTTTGGCTCAGGTCATGATCTCACAGTTCATGGGTTCAAGCCCCACATCAGGCTCTGTACTGACAGTTCAGAGCCTGGAATCTGGTTCAGATTATGTGTCTCCCTCTCTCTCTCTCAAAAATAAATAAACATTAAAAAAAAAAAAGAATATGTTTGACCTAGCTGCCTCCTGAAGTCAAAATTATTACCTTGGGGCAGTGTTTTTGTTTTTTATTTTCTATTTAGCCTTTCTGTTTATTTCAGTTCAGTAACATGTGGCAATAAGAGTTAACTCTTATTTGGCAAAAATATAAGAAGGGATGTAAGAAGGGATAGCAAGACGAAGCAAGTCCCAAATATTCTGGAGGTCAGCCAGCGGGAGCCATCTTTTTATTTTGAATTAGTGGTGAAGCTATGGGTAAGAGTGCTCACTAGGTGGGGTATGAGGGTGTGATTTATTGGAAAGGGGGTAGGAAATCAGGAAGTGAAGGGGAAAGCATGCATGTGAAAACTGGTGGAATCAGAGTAAGGTCTGTTCTTGACTTAATAGTCGTATATGAATGTCAGCTCCTGGTTTCGACATTATACAATGGTTATATAAGATGTTATCATTGAGGTAACTGGGTGAACTATACAAAGGAACTCTAGTACTATTTTTGCAACTTCTCATAAGTCTTAAACTATTCTAAAGTAAAAGTTGTAGCAATAATTTTAAAAGAGAAGAATGAAAAAACATATTATAAAATGATAATAAACCCAATGGCAAAAAGAAAAAAAATCCAAGGGTAGCATCCTGTAGACTTTCATTTAACTTCTTCAATTCTATGTAGGAAGAGTAAAAATACTTTTTCTTCATATTCTGTAATAAAGAGGCATTGGGGGAGAGAAAAAAATAAGAATTTTAGGGGTAATTCCTCACCTTGGAAGTTTCCAGCTTGACTGACATTTTCCTATATTTTCAGATGTGACATTCCAGCCCCTGCCTGCTTTGACGTACCGCACCACAGGGGGAATTCTGGACTTTTATGTGGTCTTGGGGCCAACTCCTGAGCTTGTCACTCAGCAGTACACTGAGGTAGGAAGGAATTAAACTGATCAAGTATTCACATAGTATATTCCTGACTTCCCAAATCCACATTTATTAGTATAGCTCTCAGACGATAACTGGAATTGTTGGTCTTTCTGGAAGATAGATAGACTATAAAATAAGGAGCAAAGAAGTATATCCCAAGAACCATTAAATTTGCAGCTTCTCAAGTGGTGCTACTGGTTGTGTTGGTAGTGGCAGTGGTGGCGGCGGTGGTGGTGACAGTGATGGCGGCGGTGGTGGTGGTAATGGTCTGTTAATGGTGATGTGTTAGAGGTGGTGGTGGTAGTGATGGAGGTGACGAGGTGGTGGAGACGTGGTAATGGTGATGGTGTGGTGCTGGTATTGCAGGTGTTGGTGATGGTGATAGTGGTGGTGTTGGTAGTAATGGCGTTCGTAGTGGCCATGACAGCAAAGCAGTAGCCACAAACATGTATATAACTTACTGTGTGTCACAGCTCATTTTACATATATTAACTCATTCAGTCCTTACAAGAACTCCATGAAGCAAATACTAGTGTTAGCCCCAATTTACAAGTGCAGGAACTGATGAATAAGAGGTTTTCACCTTCTGCATAGGGCCGCCTAGCCAGCAGGGATTGGAGCCTGGATGGTAAGTTAGGCATTTCACCTCTAGATTCAGAATTCTTAACCAGTAAGCTAGACTGACTCTAGGAATCAGAGTAAAATCAGATTTTCCAAACTTCTTAGGGAAGGAGGTAAGATCCAGCAGAAAGCTTTCTCCAAGGCATCCTTGTGGCTTTACATCCTCTCAGTTTCTCTCCGTATTTGAATTTGTTGATTATTTAGCTTGAGACACTGGAAAGATGTTCTTATTAACTTGTTGACAATTTCAATCCAGATTCTCCTTTTGAAGGACTAAATTTTCTGTCGATTTTCTAGTTGATCGGTCGGCCGGTGATGGTTCCTTACTGGGCCTTGGGGTTTCAGCTGTGTCGCTACGGATACCAGAACGACTCTGAGATTGCCAGCTTGTATGATGAGATGGTGGCTGCCCAGATTCCTTACGTAAGTTCTCAGTATATGGTGCATTGGCTCTAGAACCTCATGGCCAACACTAGCTGTCTCTGTATCTCGATTGGCTTGACTTGGGGGGGGCGGAGGTTTTAGAACTAGACAATTTTAAAACATTTAGTCAAAAACATCGTGGTATAGTAAAATGAAATGACTGTTGCTCAAACAGTCATTTTGCTTAATTAAAAATAAAATGACCCAAGTTCAGTCAGACCACTGTATGTGTAGATATAACCTCAGTTCCAACACCCTGCTGGTACAGCATGGTCTTCCTCGGCTTTGTGCTGAGGTTGTAGATAGAGCTCCAGTTTCCGGATGAAATACATATGGAAACAAATTCTGTCTTTCACTTGAGGGCAAGAGGGCTCCAATAATCAGAGAAATTGATCCCATGAACTTCTTACCTTTTTAATTTTCTTCTGCTTATTTTCTTGTTGTTTATAATTGTTGCTATTAATGATAAGCATAGCATGCAATAATCTATTTTTAATAAGAAAGCCATGTCTGAGAGCCCCCAGGATTGGATATTCCAAAGCAATTACAGGGGATTTTTTTTTTCAAAAGGTAGATTTGCCATCCATCCAGTTGTATTAGTACTGGGTAGTTTACATATATTATGTTCTCTGACAGTGAACCACTGATTGCTGGGCCCGCCATTTGGGGCAGGTCACCCCAATCATTCATACTAGCCGTTCACAAGGCACTTTCTCATCTGCTCTTTTCATTTATCCTCACAGCAGCCTTGTCAGATGGGCATTTTCATCTTTTTTTTTTTGCTAATTTGGGTTGGGGGTTTTTTTCTATTTTACAACTGAAAATTTGAAAATTTCCCAGAACGTGAAAAATTTCCCAGAAAAAGTCAAAAGGAAGTCAGCTGAAATCCACCATTAGTTAGTGGAGTGTGTTCTCACTGGGCACCTGGCCTTGTGTAACGGGGAGCCTCTCCTTTTCCTTGTGTGCTCCCGCAGGACGTTCAGTACTCAGACATCGACTACATGGAGCGGCAGCTGGACTTCACCCTCAGCCCCAAGTTTGCGGGATTTCCAGCTCTGATTACTCGCATGAAGGCCGCAGGGATGCGGGTCATCCTTATTCTGGTTAGTCCCCCTATGAGCGGGTGGAGCTTGTTGGGGAGAGTGCATGGGCTTTGGTGGAGAAAGCTTCATATGCGCTTGCTTCCATGTTACGAGCAGAGCAGAGAAGCTGAGGTTCAATGAGAAGGTGTATTTCCCAGGATGCACAGAAGCCCACAGTTCAGGTGGAAGTGTGTGCCCTCCTGTTTGAAGAGTTCTCCTTTCTTCTGTCCTGAGATGTTCTCTGGCTTTGCTCTTCTCACCTTCTTTGCTTCAATTTCAGGACCCTGCCATTTCCGGGAATGAGACACAGCCCTATCCTGCGTTCACTCGGGGTATGGAGGATGATGTCTTCATCAAAGCTCCAAATGGTGGCGGCATTGTCTGGGGGAAGGTATGATGGGAGCGGTGATCCAATAATCCCCAGCTTGGGGGTGGCCAACTGTTGGTGTGGTTGTGCATGTTGTTTTCGGGCCTTTTCCATTTGGGCTCTGAGATCAGAATGTCTCATTTTCTCAATCAGTATTTGTGCACCTAGTTGACATGTTTAGAGAATGTAAGTGTGTATGTGCATTACAGGATCCACTTTTCTCTAGATCAAAATCAAAGTATTACCACCATAGGACCCACGGTTTATAGTTTCTCAGGAAATACTATGTAAGATAAATTATCTGGTGCATTGCTTTTGAACAGTTTTCTCTCCACAGGTGTGGCCTGACTTCCCTAATGTCGTTATAAACGGGTCTCTAGACTGGGAGAGTCAAGTAGAGGTAAAGGGCCCCTTGTGGATGTGGGTGAAGTCTTGGCTGCCAGGAGGGTGCAGCTGACCCGGGAGAGCAGACATCCCTATGCCAGGGGTGGGGGCGTGGCGAGCAGTATACCCAGGGGTTTTGTCCCATGTGCTCATCTGTGTGACAGTCACTTTACATGTAATATTTTACCCCCAGCCCGGATGTAGGTATTCTCCTCCTCAACATAACTAGGATTCAGAGACCTTAAATTATTGATCCATGGTTTTAGGTGACCGAGTGATGATTTCAAAGCCAAGGCTGTCAGATTCCAAAGGCCCATGAAACTCCCACCTCCAAGAGATACTGTTTGCCCAGAAATAGTGTGTTTGTTGTTGTTCTTGTTTCTGACTCTCCGTGTTAAGCATGGTCTCCAAACCTTGTCTTTAGCAATGGGATCTTTTTCTCTGTAAATCTGTTTTCCACGGACAGCCTTCTCATCTCCACTCTTACAGATCCCTTATCCTTCCTTGGGTTTCTCAATTTTGCTCTTACCTTCAGTTTCCAGCCTAATGTTAAAACTTGCTCTCTCTGGGGAACAAGTGCTTCCTTGTCATGGCTCTTGGATAGGGATTTGAGGAGATGGACCTTGCTTCCTCTTTTCTCTGTTGCTTCTCAGAGGAAACCACTTGAAGTCTCCTGGTCCAGACCAGATGGACACAGGAATCTGTCAGGCCAGAGAAGGTCAGTGTCTCCTTGACAGACACATTCATTCATTTGTTTGTTTATTCATTCATTCATTCATCCATTCATTTATTCATTTTCTTTTTTTAGTATTTTTCCCCCTAGCACAACTGAAGTATAACTGACAAATAAAATTATGTATTTATTTAAAGTGTACAGTGTGGTGATTTGATACATATATATCATGAAATGGTGATCACAATCTGGTTAATTAACACATCCATCACCTCACATATTTATCATTTATCTGTGTGGGGTGAGAATACTTAAGATCTACAGTCACAGCAAACTTTAAGTATATAAAACAGTTTTTTTTTTAACTATAGTCACCAGGCTGTACATTAGATTCCCAGAACTTAGCATCTTAAAAATGAAAGTTTATACCCTTTGACCAGTATCTGCTCACTTCCTCCACCCCATGCCCCCTGGTAACCACCGTGCTGCTATCTGTTTCTATGAATTCAGCTTTTTTTTTTTTTTAATATTCCACATGTGAGATCATAAAGTATTTGCTTTTCTCTGTATAACTTTTTCATTTAGCATAATATCCTCTAAGTTCATGTATGTTATAAATGGCAGGATTTCCTCATTTCTCATGACTGAATACCATTTCATCACACACACACACACACACACACACACACACACACCCCACATCTTTATCCATTTATCAACTGACGGATGCTTAGGTTATTTCCACATCTTGGCAATTGTGAATAATGCTGCAATGAACCTGAGAGTACATATATCTCTAAGATACTGATTTCATTCTATTCAGGATAGATATCCAGGAGTGAGATTGCTAGATCACATGGTAATTCTATTTTTAACTTTTTGAGGAACTTCCATATTATTTTCCATAATAGCCATACAAATTTACATTCCCACCAACAGTGTGCAGGGCTCCCTTTTTCCATGTCCTTGCCAACAGTTGTTATCTCTTATCTTTTTGGTAAGAGCTATACTAACAGGTATAAGATGATATCTCATTGTAGTTTTGATTTGCATTTTCCTGATGATTACTGATGTTGTGTACCTTTCCATGTACCTGTTGGCCATTTATGTGATTTCTGTAGAAATATACCTATTCAGATCTTTTGTCTGCTTTTAAATCTGTTTATTTGGTTTTTTTTTAATATTAATTTTTTTATTTATTTTGAGAGAGAGAGACAGAGAGACAGAGAGCAGGGGAGGGGCAGAGAGAGAGGGAGATACAGAATCTGAAGCAGGCTCCAGGCTCTGTGCTGTCAAAACAGAACTCAACATGGAGCTCGAACTCGTGAACCATGAGATCATGACCTGAGCCAAAGTCGGACGCTCAACCGACTGAGCCACCCAGGTGCCCCATAATCTGTTTATTTGTTTTGCTTTATTTTTTGCTATTGAACTGTATAAATTGTATAAAAACTTGCATATTTTGGAAGTCAATTTCTTATCAGATATATATGGTTTGCAAATATTTTCTCCTATTCCCTAAGTTGTCTTTTCATTTTGTTGACTGTTTCCTCTGCTGTGCATGTGTTTTCAGTTGTACATCATCCCACTTGTTTTTTATTTTTGCTTTTGTTGCTTATGTGTATAGTGTCAGACTCCAACACTGCTTTCCTCCACCACTGCCTAGACCAATATCAAGGAGCTTTCCCCCTGTTTTCTTCTAGAAGTCTTATGATTTCAGGTCTTATACTTAAGTCTTGAAAAAATTCTTAAATGTTTTATTTATTTTTGAGAGAGAGACAGAGATAGAGTGCAAGCATGGGAGGGTCAGAGAGAGAGGGAGACACAGAATCTGATGTGGGCTCCATGCTCTAAGCTGTCAGCACAGAGCCCCACACAGGGCTCAAGCACACAAACTGTGAGATCATGACCTAACTGAAGGTGGACACTTAGCAGCCTGAACCACCCAGGTGCCCCTACGAAAGTCTTTAAAACAGGTTGAAGATTTTTTGTGAGTGGTGTAAGATAATGGTTTTGTTTCATTCATTTGCATGTGGACATCCAGTTTTTGTAACACTATTTATTGAAGAGACTGTTTTTTCCCCATTGTGTGTTCTTAGCCTACTTGTCAAAAATTAATTGATAGTATATGTATAGATTTCCTTCTGGGCTTTCTATTCTGTGTCATTGGTCTATGGATCTGTTTTTATACCAGTACCATGACATTTAAATCTTTATACTAGTAAAGGGTCCGCTTCAGCAGTGAAGAGTTTGGCTCTTACCATATGAGCCCCACGTTTCATCAGCCATTGAGAGCATTTGGAAATGTGTGGGGCAGTTTAGATTACTTCAAGGGGAGCACCAAATTTCATTTATTTAGTGGGATGTGACAAGGGATGCTCATAGTTTTGATGGCAAGGGGATGTTCCACCAAGAATTCTCCTGCCCCAAATACCAGCTGTGTCTCTAGTAAGAAGCACTCCATTAGGGAGCCATGATATGGATTTGATAGCACATGAAAGATTCTCAGTAGATAGAATAATTATGACTGTTTATATTAATGAAACCCATTTCATGAGGCCAGTGGAGACCAGAGCTCTTGATATCCAGGTCTGGTCCTGCTGAGGGGAGTATAAAACAAACAAACAAGCAAACAGCAGGAAGCCTGTGGAAAGCAGATTTCTGAGGCTGAAGCTTCGATTTACTTCAGTAAGTCTAGGACTGGGCCTTAGAATTGCATTTTGGTAGTATGCACACAGTGGGCTGTGGTAAGCGATCCTATGACTGACTACGTGCAGATGAGTGCATCATGAGCTGAGGCCAATGAAGATGAGGGCAGAAGTAATAAGGCAAGGGCTGAATATAGGAGGGAGGCAGAACCACAACTCTGGAGAATGGCAAAACATTTATTTCATGGGTAAGAGTCATCAGAGAACCTTATAGTGAGGTTAATGACTTAGCGTTGGTCAAATTTTTCACTTGGATCTCATAAGGGATTCAGTTCTGACTCTGGCATGATGGATATTGACTCTGTTTACCCTAGTCTTCCTTCCCCCTCCCCTATACCATGTTTCTAACTCTGCCTAAGCTGGAGCTCTGTTTCTAGTGGAAGGTTCTCTTGTTCTGGTTCCAAGTTTCTACCTCTATTTTCTTTTCTTTTTTTCTCCTTTTTTTTTTTATTGTTTATTTATTTTCAAGAGAGAGGGAGACAGAATGCAAGCGGGGGAGGGGAAGAGAGAGAGGGAGAGAGAATCTGAAGCAGATTCCAGGCTCTGAGCTGGCAGCACAGAGTCTGATGCAGGGCTCGAACTCAGGAACCATGAGATCATGACCTGAGCTGAAGTCAAACTCTTAACCGACTGAGTCACCCAGGTGCCCCTCTTCCTCTATTTTCTAACAAGAAGGCATCTCTGGGATGCCTCCTTTTCAAAACATTCTCAGTGATGTGGTTCCCTACCTCTCACTACTTTGTGAGCTGGACGCCTCCCTGCATTCTGTTCCATTTCTGTTATCTGCTTTGTGTTCCTATTTTGCCTTTTATCTAGAGGTATGGACTCCTACTTGCCTTTTGTCTGTTGTAAGAACTGGAGGGTTCCCAAACCAAATCCTCTTTCTGTGGTCCGCCCTCATGACTGCCCACCTCTGCCACCAGCATTACTTAGCTCTTTAACTCTTAAAATGCTCTGAGGAGCACAGAGGAAACTATTTACTGAGACACACAAAAGACCATGAGCTTCGATCACAAGCAACATGAGCTGTATAGAAATTTATGGGTATTTGCTGCTGCTCAGTGATGAGTATTCACAATTATGCACCAAACATTTATTTTATGTCAGGTTCTAAGCTAAGCACCGTGGAGGGTACAAAGCCCAGGCAGATTAGTATAAAACAAGGTCCTTGCTCTCAGAAACCTTACAATATAGTTAAGCTTTGGATCCACTCTCCAGGTTAAAATAAAGACACAGCTATTAGAGGCACCTGGGTGGCTCAGTTGGTTAAGCATCTGACTTTGGCTCAGGTCATGATCTCATGGTTTGTGGGTTGAGCCCTACATTGGGCTCTGTGCTGACAACTCAGAGCCTGGAGCTTGATTCAGATTCTGTTGTTCCCTCTCTCTCTGTTCCTCCCCTGCTCTCTCTCTCTCTCTCTCTCTCACTCTCTCTCAAGTAAATTTAAAAAACATTAAAATATTTTTTTAAAAGACACAGCTTTAAATATTTGAGAAAGACAGAGAGAAGGGGGGCAGAGTTAAACCTTCCCATTCACCTCCTCCTGTTATTTGACATTGCGATTTTCAAGTGATTCTGTAGCCGTAGAAAACATTTGCCCACTAGCTAGAGATCTTTTCCCTCATCACCTTTCCCCAGTGGGAATGAGACAGGAAAAGATCACCTGTATGTTTCTTTCCAGCCTGTTGACTGTTTCAAGCTGCAGTTTCTTCCTGGATCCTGTTTTGTCTATTTATTTGTTTGTTTGTTTAAATTCAAGTTAGTTAACATGTATGTAGTATTGGTTTCAGGAGTAGAATTTAGTGACTCATCACTTACATATAATATCCAGTGCTCATCCCAACAGGTGCCCTCCTTAATGCCCGTCACCCATTTCATCCATCTCTGGCCACCTCCCCTCCAACAACCCTCAGCTTACTCCCTGTATTTCCTGTTTTTTTTGTGTGGTTTTTTTTTGTCTTTTTTACAAATAGTTTATTGTCAAGTTGGTTTCCATATAACACCCAGTGCTCATCCCCACAAGTGCCCCTCTCCGTGCCCATCCCCCTCTTCCCCCCACATCCATCAGTCCTCAGTTTTTGTCAGCATTCAAGAGTCTCTCATGGTTTGCCTCTCCCCCTTTCCCCCGCTATTTCCCCCCTTCTTCTCCCCCATGGTCCTCCGTTAAGTTCCTCCTAATCCTCCTATACATGCAAACATATGATATTTGTCCTTCTCTGCCTGACTTATTTCACTCAGCATAACACCCTCAAGGTCCATCCATGTTGCTACACATGGTCAGATTTCATTTTTTCTCATTGTCATGTAGTATTCCATGGTATAGATAAACCACATCTTCTTGATCCATTCGTCTGTTGATGGACACTTAGGCTCTTTCCATGTTTTGGCTATTGTTGAGAGTGCTGCTATGAACATTGGGGTACATGTACTCCTATGCCTCAACATTTCTATATCCCTTGGGTAAATTCCTAGCAGTGCTATTGCTGGGTCATAGGGGAGTTTTATTGTTAATTTTTTGAGGAACCTCCACACTGTTTTCCAGAGGGGCTGTACCGGTTTACATTCCCACCAACAGTGTAGGAGGGTGCCCATTTCTCCACATCCTCACTAGCATCTCGTGTTCTCTGATTTGCTCATTTTAGCCACTCTGACTGGCGTGAGGTGGTATCTCAGTGTCATTTTGATTTGTATTTCCCTGATGAGGAGGGACACTGAGCATCGTTTCATGTGTTTGTTGGCCATCTGGATGTCCTCTTTGGAGAAGTGTCTGTTCATATCTTCTGCCCATTTCTTTACTGGGTTGTTTGTTTTTCGGGTGTGGAGTTTGGTGAGTTCCTTATAGATTCTCCTGTATTTCCTGTTTTATCCTTGAGGTGTGGTTAGGAAATTGCAGGACAGAAGTTGAAAGTTAACCATCTGGTATCTGTCCTTCTCTGCCTGACTTATTTTGCTTAATGGAGGACCATGGGGGAGAAGAAGGGGAAAAATAGTTGGGGAGAGGGAGGGAGGCAAACCATGAGAGACTCTTGAATGCTGAGAACAAACTGAGGGCTGATGGGGGTTGGGGAGAGGGGAAGGGGGTAGATGGGCATGGAGGAGAGCACTTGTTGGGATGAGCACTGGGTGTTATATGGAAATCAACTTGACAGTAAACTATTTAAGAAAAAAAGCCACAAAAAACAGAAAGTTAACCATTAGACATTAGTTAACTTATTAGACAGTGAGTTTAGGGTGTTAATTGCTACCATTCATGTTGATACAAAGAGGAAGACAGTCCACGAATGCTCCAAATGCTAAGAAGATGTCTAACTTATGGTATTGTCTCTTCTGTGCACTTATTATATTTCAAATAAGCCAAGAAGGTTATTTAGGCTCTGTTTGAATTATCTATCACTATGTAGTGCAGGGATGTGTATGAGTTATGCTCTCAGGAAGTGCCCTTTGGCTGTCTAATATCATTTTGGAGAACAAACACATTATGTTTAATTTTTACAGCAATACCGAGCTTATGTGGCCTTCCCAGACTTTTTCCGTAATTCAACTGCCACGTGGTGGAAGAGGGAGATGCGAGAACTGTACACCAATCCCCGGGATCCAGAGAAGAGCTTGAAGTTTGATGGCATGTGGATTGTAAGTGTCTGGGTTTATGTCTGTGCCCTTGTAGACAGGTGAGTTTCTGTCTTTGTGTGTCTAAGCTTATGTGATCATGATCTTTAATTAAGAGGGATAATAATCATCCAGGAAAGACTTTGGACATATCTGATTGCAGCTCCTCCAGTAAAACACAAAGGTGATTGCTAGGAATTTCTTGGAATCGAGCCCCGCCTCATACCTTGAGGGAGATTTTTTTTTTTTAATCTTCTAGCCAGTCATTCTAGAGGGCTTAATTAATCGTTCTAGTCAGTTCTCAGCTGGATTTGATGATTCTCCCTGGGCTGGCATGTACAAGATTTTTGGAAGGTTAATAATTTATTCACTGCTTCCTTGTCTCTGAGTTGACAGGATGTGATGGTTTTAAAAAGTAATATATATCTGTGTTTGACATTTCTAGGATATGAATGAGCCGGCAAGTTTTGTGAATGGAGCAGTGCCCCCAGGCTGCAGGGACGCCACTCTGAACCATCCCCCCTATGTGCCACGTAAGAGCCCTCCACCTCCCCTGTTGGCATGGCCTTGGCTACAGGCAGTGACCTGCACAAGGCCTGGCAGCCAGGGTTTATCCTGACTATACTGAGCACACCTTAGCTGTGTTGTGTTGTGTTTTATTTTTTAAATGTTTATTTATTTTTGAGAGAGAGAGAGTGTGTGAGCAGGGGAGGGGCAGATTGAGAGAAAGACAGAATCCTAAGCAAGCTCCAGGCTCTGAGCTGTCAGCACAGAGCCCGACATGGGGCTTGAACTCATGGACTACAAGATCATGACTGAGCTGAAGTTGGACTGAGCCACTCACCCAAGTGCCCTACTGGTGCTGTGGTTTTTAGGGGCCCAAGACGAGCACACATCAAGCACTTTACCCAATTGAGTGTGTACAAGTTATTGGCCCTATTGGGTGAATTTCTCAAATTTGTTAACATTAACAGTGGTAATGTCCACAAAGGATTCTAGAAGAGAGTTTCTTAATTCTTCAGGCTCATGTGAATTCTCCCACAGGAGTGTGTTGTGCTAACAGTGTGGGGAAAATAGCAGCTTCCCCTTATCATGGAGTTGATGGACTTTGGCACTAACACTTGTGTTCATATCTTGGCCCCAGAAATTAGACTCACTATGAATCGTACGACCTTCAACAGATGACTTGATGTTTCCAAGTCTCAGTTTTTTTGAATTGTAAAGGGAGATAGTGATATCGTTTTTATAGAGTTATAAGAATTATATGAAATGATTTACAAGAAAAAAGCTTAGGCTGCCTCCTGTCATGTGGTTAGGTAGGTGTTTGACAACTGTGTGTTCTCCCCCTTGCCCCTGCTTTCTTCTGGAGAACTCTGCAGGAGACTTGATGTTCAAAACACCTGTGGGTCCCATTGCAGCTCAGAACTGAGCACATTCCCCTGCCCCTGGGGAAGAAGGAGGACAGGGACCCACATAGGGGCAGATTAGTCTTGAGACCCAGTGCCCAATCCATTAAAGGGAGGTCAGGGATAAACAGGACTGGGCATGACATTTTCATCACTAGATCTTTCTCCTCAGATTTGGAGTCCAGGGACAGGGGCCTGAGCAGTAAGACCCTGTGCATGGAGAGTCAGCAAATCCTGCCAGATGGCTCGCTGGTGCGGCACTATGATGTGCACAGCCTGTACGGATGGGCCCAGACCAGACCCACCTAAGAGTGAGTGGCCCTCTCCCTTCTCTGGTCCACATGACCTGCAGATGAGGCCAGTGACTGGTGAAGTTACTCTGCTTTTCCTTTCATGCACCCTCTCAAGGGTTAAGAAGATTTTAATTATGACTATGTCACAGTTCTTATTAAGAAAACATGAGCATGGAGCCAGGCTCTGCGATCATAGTTAGGACAGATTTAAGTAAGACCTAGTTCTGCCAGTGAGAGACCTGACAGTCCTCGTGGAGAAGGCACATGTTCACACAGTGCAGCTGATGCTATGATTAATTACGAGAGGTGAAGGGAACGCAGAGGACTGGCTATCTCTTTCCTTAATTTCAAAAGTCACTCATCTCTGTTGGGTTTGTTTGTTTGTTTGTTTATAATTCTTGTTGGAGAGCTAACTAATGGACTACTGAACTAACACTATCCCATTTTGTGAGCTCAGTGAATGAATAAGAATGAATAAGAAGAATTATTCTAAAGAACCCTTATAAAGGAATTCACCTTCTTCCTCCCCAAATATCAAATCTTAGTACTTAGTAAATATGGAGTAAGATTTAGTCATTCCTCATTATTTTTAGGTGAGCTGCTAAGCTTAGTATAAAGTTCTTTGTAAAACACGCTGTAAAGGCAGAGCTGTTATTATTACCTCTATCCTCTAGAGTGAGTCAGTGGGGATGCCATTATGGCTCAGATTTCCGTATTTCCTCCAGTAATGGTTTTGTCACCACTCCTCAGAAACTCCAGGAGGAGAAGCTCTGTGGCCATTCCTCCCCTCTTCTGCCCCAAATCACTTCCTTGTTCCCCTCCATCCAGAGCTGTGCAGGAGGTGACGGGACAGCGAGGGATTGTCATCACCCGCTCCACATTCCCCTCCTCTGGCCGCTGGGGAGGTCACTGGCTGGGAGACAACACAGCTGCCTGGGACCAGCTGAAGAAGTCTATCATTGGTGCATGGGCTTTTCCAGAGGGGACTCTGCCAGTGGGAAGGGGGTTAGGAAACTTGATAAAAGACTCTTGAGTGGGGAGAAAAAGGCAGATGATGAGTACTGCCTCTGACATAGCTGTGGTCTCATTGCAGGCATGATGGAGTTCAGCCTCTTTGGCATATCTTATGTAAGTGTCGTTGGGGTCACTTCTAATCCCCAACCAGGTTGTAACATCTTTCAGAAATCAGCAACGTGCTTGTTTCATTCTACTTCATTTCAGACAGGAGCAGATATTTGTGGGTTCTTTCAAGATGCCCAATATGAGATGTGCGCTCGCTGGATGCAGCTGGGGGCCTTTTACCCCTTCTCGAGGAACCACAACACCATTGGGACCAGGGTAGGATGTTAGCTCATAGCTCAAAGGTTTTGTATCACTAGGGATACAGCTTCCAAATCTGAGCTACAATTAATGCATTCTGTATCCTCAGTGACATTTTCAACACCATTAAACCCTCATGTTTCTTGTTTGTTTTATTTGATACACTTATGTACTGTGAAATGATTACCACAGAAGGATTAGTTAACACCTCTCTCACCTCACAGAATTACCATTTCTTTCTTGTGGTGAGAACATTTAGTATTTACTTTATTAGCAATTTTCAAGTATATGATATAGTATTGTTAACTATAGTCACCATGCTGTGCATTAGATTACCAGAATATACACATCTTTTTTTTAATGTTTTATTTATTTTTGAGAGAGAGATAGAGACAGCATGAGCAGGGGAGGGTCAGAGAGAGAGGGAGACATAGAATCTGAAGACAGGCTCCAGGCTCTGAGCTAGCTGTCAGCACAGAGCCCGACACGGGGCTTGAACCCACGAACCGTGAGATCATGACCTGAGCCAAAGTCGGACGCTTAACCGACTGAGCCACGCAGGCACCCCCAGAATATATACATCTTGTATCTGGAAGTTTGTACCCTTTGACTGACACTTCTCCATTTCTCCCACCCTCCAGCCCCTGATAACCACTGTTCTGCTCTCTAATAGATTTGAGGTGATATTTCATTGTGGTTTTGATGTGCATTTCCCTGATGATACATGATGTTGAACATCTTCTCTTGTACCTGTTGGCCATCTGTATGCCTTCTTTGGAAACTGGAAACCAATAAGAGGAGGAAAACTGGAAAACCCACAAATATGTGGAAATCAAACAACCAGTGGGTCAAAGATAAAATCGAAATAAAAATTTTAAAATATCTTGAAACAGATACAAATGGAAACACAACATATCAAAACCTGCAGGAGGCAGTAAATGCATTTCTAAGAGGGAAAGTTTGTAATGATAAGCTCCTACACTAAAAAAGAAGAAAGGTTTCATATTAAAAAAAACCTGACTTTATACTTCAAGGAACTAGCAGAAGAACTAAGTCCAGAGTTACCAAAAGACCAGAAGAGAAATAAGTGAAGCAGAAAAAAGAAAAACAATAGAAAAGATCAACCAAAGAGTTGTTTCTTTGATTAGATAAACAAAATGAACAAGCCTTTAGTTAGACTTGCTAAGGAAAAAAGACAGAAGGCTCAAATAAATAAAATTATAAATGAAAAAGGAGACATTGGGACCGATACCACAGAGGCGCAAAGGGTCACAGGAGACTACAATTATAAACCAACACATTGGACAACCTGGAAGAAATGAATAAGTTCATATGAACATACGGCTTACTAAGACTGAATCATTAAGAAATAGAAAAGCTGAATAGATAAATAATGAATAAGGAGATTGAATTAGTAATCAAAAACCACCCCCCACCCCAGGAAAGCTCATATGTTTTCCCTAGTGAATTATATTGAAAATTTAAAGAAGAATCAATACCAAGACTTCGTCATCACTTCCAAAACATTGAAGAGAAGGGAGCACTCCCAAGCTCATTTTACAAGATCAGTGTTTCACTGACACAAAGGCCAGGTAAGGACACTACAAGAAAACTATAGGACAATCTCCCTCATGAATATAGATCCAAAAATTTGCAACAAAATATTAGCACACTGAATCCAACACACTGAAAGAATCAAACACCACGATCAAGTGAGATTTAACCATGGGATGTGAAGACAATTCAACAAACACAAGCAAATAAATTTGATAAATCACATTAATAGAATGGAAGATAAAATTCATATGATCATCTTAATATAGGCAGAAAAACATTTGGCAAAATATAACCTCCTTCTATGATGAAAGCTGTCAACACATTGGGTATAGAAGAAATGTACCACATCATTATAAAGGCCATATATGACAAGATACACCTGACATCATGCTTAAAGTTGGAAGCTTGAAAGCTTTTTCTCTAAGATCAGGAATAAGACAAGTGTGCCCACTCTCACTACTGGAAATCCTAGTTAGAGCAGTCAGGCAGGAAAAAGAAATGCAAAGTATTTAAATCAGAAAGGAAGTAAAATCGTCTCTGTTTACAGTTCATATGATTTTATATATAGAAAATCCAAAAGATACCATTAAAAAACTATTAGAATGAATCTATTAATTCAGTAAAGTTGTAGAATACAAAATCAACATACAGAAATCAGTTGTGTTTCTATACATGAACATCAAATATCTGAAAAAGAAGTAAAGCAATCCCTTTCATAGTAGCATCAAAACTCAATACAATTCTTAGGAATAAATTTAACCAAGGAACTGGAAGATATAAACATTGAAAACTCTAAGAAATTCGTGAAAGGAATTGAAGAATACACAAACACACAAAAGTAAAGATACTCCATGTTCAGGGACTAGAATTAACATTATCACAATGTCCATACTACCCAAAATGACTTATGTTTCAATGCAATCACTGTCAAAATTCCAATAGCATTTTTCACAGAAATACAAAAAAAAATCCTAAAATTCATATGGAACTACAAATGACTCCAAATAGCTAAAGCAATCCTGAGAATGAAGACCAAAGCTAAAGGCATCATGCTTCCTGGTTTCAAACTATATCACAAAGCTACAGTAATCAAACAGTATGCTATTAGCATAAAAATAGATGAATGAAATAGAATCAGAACTACAGAAATAAACCTTTGCACTTACTATGGTTTGAAAAGGGAGCCAAGAATACTCAGTGGAGAAAAGACAGTCTCTTTAATAAATGCTGCTGGAAAAACTAGATAATCACATTCAAAAGAATGAAACTGGGCTCCTATCTTATACCCTTCCCCAAAATTAACTCAAAATGTATTAGTAATTTAAATATATGACCTGAAATAGTAAAACTCCTAGAAGAAAACATAGGGAAAAAGCTACTTGACATTGTTCTTGGCAATGATTTCTTTGGACATGACATTAGAAACACAGACAACAACAATAAAAATAAGTAAGTAGGATTATATCAAACTCAAAGCTTCTGCCTAGCAAAAGAAACAATCAAAAAAATGAAAAGGCAGCCTACGCAATGGGAGAAAATATTTGTTGTTTTTTAATTTTTAAAAAATGTTTTATTTTTGAGAGAGAGAGAATGAGTGGGCAAGGGGAAGAGAGAGAGGGAGACACAGAATCTGAAGCAGGCTCCAGACTCTGAGCTGTCAGCACAGAGCCTGATGTGGGGCTTAAACCCATGAACCACAAGGTCATGGCCTGAGCCGACACTTAACTGGCTGAGCCACTCAGGCACCCAAATATTTGTAAACCATCTATCTGAAAAGGAGTTAGTGTCCAAAATATATAAGACACTCATTCAAATCAATAGCAAAAAGCCACAAACAATCTGATTTAAAAATGGGTAAAGGACCCACATAGACATTTTTCCAAGAAGACATACAAATGGCTAACAGGTACATGGAAAGATAGTCATGTCTAGTGAACCAGATTCCTCAATGTTGTTTACATTATTTTGTTTGTTTAGGCTGTGTTGTGCCAAATATATACCAAAAAGAATGTCTTATGGAGAAATTTCATCAGTCATCTTGGGAAAACTTCAGTGACTTCTTTCAGTATATTAAGAATATTTTAGTCTCAAAAAAAAAAAGTCTAAAAGAGATATTCTCAGTCTCATCTATAATCAATTTTAGTTTAGCTACATATGATCTTCATTCCTAATAAGCGTTCAGTGACTTCTTTAGATCCCCAGGTCCCCTTAGTGAGCTCTAAACATTCTTCTTTCCTCCTATAGAGGCAGGACCCTGTGTCCTGGAATGCAACCTTTGAGAATATCTCCAGAAGCGTCCTGCAGACCAGATACACCCTGTTGCCGTATCTCTACACTCTGATGCACATGGCCCACACGGAGGGCAGCACTGTCGTCCGGCCTCTTCTCCATGAGTGAGTGTCAAGCTGGGCTCCCAATGACTAAGGAATAATATCATTCTATATGGTGGCTCTTGAAGAAAAAAGTTCCTCCAAATTAAGTTAAAGACACAATTGCGCTTTGCCATAAGCTTTCTGGGCACAAACCATACATAATAATTCCTTTTAGCACAGTGTCCGTCATGCACTAGGTCCTTAATGAAAGACTACTGAATGAGAAAAAAAAAAAAAAAAAACTCAAAGGGATCCAATATAGCACAGAATAATTTCTTTCTACATTGGGCATATGAAGAGCTACCTTTCTTTCATAGCCGCTCAGGTCCCAAAACAAGGCCACATGTGAGGGATGAAGATGTGAGGGCTGAAGGCCATTCATGCATTTAAAACGTGCCATGGTTAATAAACATGGAGGAATTGATAGGTGAGAACATGTCTAAGTCCATCCATTTCTGGGGTTCGAAGACCATGATAGACAGAAAGTAAGTATACAGCTGGTTGAGGGAGACATAGGGAAAGAGGGAAGGAAGATGAAGAAGGCAGCTGGATTTCTGACTTGGGTCTGAACTTGAAGAGTTTCTTCAGGGTCTTGTCCTGAGGCCCTGTCTGGGTCCTGATTGTGGTACCTTGGTTTCTCTTTCCAGGTTTGTGTCAGACCGGGTGACCTGGGATGTGGACAGTCAATTTCTGCTGGGCCCAGCCTTCCTGGTCAGCCCTGTCCTGGAGGCTGTGAGTATGAAGGCTCTGATATTACAGCTGTCAGGCCCCGTGACGAGAGTGACAAGAGGCCTGGTCTGCTGGGGCTCCTGAGATGTGGTCTCTTATTCCATTAAAACACATTTTTCAGGATCGTTTGTACCATGTGCGGCATAATCGCGTTGCCAGCTAGCCCTTCCCTTCCTTCTGTAAGACATCCTCAGGAAGCAAAAGCCCTGTCTTCACTTTTTCTATTGATGTATAGACTTCTGATGAAAATACCAGCCAATTGCATTCTCCCCAAAACTTACTGCACTAATCATAATCCCTGAAGTACTGGGACCATAAAATCTACAAAAATTTTTTCTGCCCAAGACCCAAACTCAGTTTTTTCTCTTTGTATAGAATATGGGGTGACTATAAGTAAATGATTTTTCCCCAAAGTCCTGATATCCAAGGGCTTTATGGAAACTGCCAGTTTGGGGTAGGCAAATCTCCCATTTGGGGAGAAGAGAGGGAAGAAAGTCTTCCTCAACACTGCTGGCCTCTAAAGAGATGAGCATGTAGGTCCAAGTTCACTGCTATTGTTTTGATCCTTTTACTGTACAAATTGGTTACCTTGCCCAAGCCTTGTTTGTGTTTAATTTTAGAATGCCAGAAATGTCACTGCATATTTCCCTAGAGCCCGCTGGTATGACTACTACACGGTAAGTTTTTCCAATGATTCATACAACTTGGGAAAAATGATAGTGTGCACAGGCTTTAGCATCTGACAGCCCACTGGCCGAATTTCTGGTGCTATAACTCATTTGATGTATGATCTTAGACAAGCCACTTTTAACCTTGTAGCCTCAATGTTTTTCACCTCCAAGTAGTATAAGAGCACTCTCCTCACAGAATTGTTATAAAATAACTTATTTTGTGAGTGTTCTATATGTGTGAGTTTTTCTCTATACCACCTCCATTCACAATGGGTGTAATGGTAACACTAGAAGACACTTGAACTTGTTCTGTAAACCGTAGATTTTGTTCATATCGTCCCTTACGAGACTGCAGGTTCATATGTATAGAGGCCTTTCCTCTCTGTCTTTTTATTAAATGTCTCCTTCTATAGCATAGATGCTCAAGGAGTTGTTAAATGTAATCTCCTGAAATAAGCATAGTTGTAGGCAGTGTGTAAAATGCACGCGGAGGTACCGGACCCAACCCTTGTGTGCAGAAGCAATGCACGTGCATTCGGAAACGCAAGATGAACACATCATTCTCTGTCCTAGAACATTTGTAAGCTAGTCTGAGCCCAGAGACTCAGCTGGGAAAACAGGGCCTTTCAAAGGAGCCATAGGGCTGTCTACTCCCCTAGGGTCACAAGTCAGGCTTTGATTCTTGAGGGAAATCAAAGGAGGCATTTCCCCTCCTTGTAACTGGGCCTACCCTCCTGACTTTTCTGCAGAGAGCAAAGCAGAGGCCTGGAAATACAGCAAAAGGGGACCAGCAGAAAGGCAAGAGGCTGAGAATACTCTAGTTTCTTCAGTCAGTGGCTTTGCAGTGGGATTCGGGATTAGATGAAAACTATACAAGGACGATGAAAGTCTTCCTCCTCTGTTTCATGGAGCCCTGAGTCCTTCCCTGACACTCAGCCCACCACACACACTTTTTTTTTTTCTGGGCTGGATCTGCCCTCTGGATGGTCCTACATGAACCCAATCAGGGCTTTCTAGGAGGGAGCAGCCAACTAGTTTTAAGTGACCCCGCCTCTGTCCTGAATTTGCATGTTGACTGCCCCAGTCACTAACAGTCCATGATCCTGAGTACAGTGAGGATCCCTGGTGCAGCAAGTGAGGTGCCTGGGCATGAAGTTTAAAAAGGGACCCCTTCTTAAGGCTGAGCCCGCATTTGCATGACCCTGAGAGTTAGCACTGCCTTAAACTGTGCACCCTAGGCACCTGGCTTATTTCACTCTAGTCCCAGCCTGGCCCAGGTGCGAGCCACCTTACTGAGCTCCAGGTATGGGAATACTGGGACAGTTTCCCCACAGAGTTCGCCATCTAACCTGGAGCTGATATTTGCATGTCTTTAATACTAGTGCTTATGTACATAATCATATGTACTATATGAAAGAAAGTGATGTGTGAGAGCTAACAAAGGACAGTGTCCTGGAATGGCAGATTTTATACATGGCTTTTAAATAAAAGAGCTTTGGTTGAGGAAAGAAAGGGGAAAAATCACTTAGGAAGCCACAGATTGATGGAGTTAGACATTTAGAAAAAAAATTAGGTTTTGATGTAAAATTCAAATAAGATCCCACGGTTGGGATTAATGGAGAAGTGTATTCTTAGTTAATCTCCACACATTTTGGTAACTAGTTTTGTATGAGAGCAGAGATTGGCCAACTAGAAGCCACAGCCAAATCAGATTCATACCTGTTTTTATAAATAAAGTTTTATTAGAACATAGTCATGAACATTTGTTTGCTTATTATCCACAATAACTGTGCTCACAATACAACAGCAGAATCCAGTGGTTTCACCCGAGACCATCTGGCCTGCAAAGCCTAAAATACTTACTATCTGGTCCTTGATAGACAAAGTTTGCTGATTCCAGGTCTAGAGGATATACATACACTATGAGATCCAGTCCACCATCTGATCATGTGAAAAGGAACAAGTTACTTACTCAGTGTAAGGAGCACTGTGGAATGTTAAAACATGGCATCTGAATTTAGAAGAAGAGATGCAGATGTACTAGTTAAAGGATGAAAGACCCCCGGGGGAATATAAGATTGGAAAGGTACCTTGAAAGACATATAGGGAGCCACAAATACACTAGGAAAGTGGAAACACCTCCACTGGTAAAAAGCCAAACATTAGAGAAGGGCAAGCATTGGAAAATGGAAAGAGAAATTCAGCATTTTCCCTCTTTCCCAAGCCTTGGCCCCCCTTCTAAAGCTAACCCCCATTAACAGTCTGTTGTATATCTTTGCTGATAAAAATATGTAGATAGATTAGCATATGTGTATTCTTTTTTTATTTACACAAGTAGTGTCTTACTATACATGCTGTTAGGCTTCTTGATCAGTTCACTGAATAATAGTTCTTGAAGATCTTTGTATATCAGAGGGCTTGGAACTTGAACTCTTTTTGAACTTGAAGCTCTTCTCCCCTCCTTTTTAAAGCAACTTTATTATATTCCACTGTATGGAATCTTTTAGCAAACCCCTTGTGTTCTTGCTTTCTTTTTCTAAGTAATGGTACAAGGCTTCAGGAAACACCATTGTATCTGTATCTCTGTCTAAGTTGTCAGTAAGATTTCTGGGATTTAAAATTAGAAAGATATTGGCAGATTGCTTTCCAGAAAGGTTTTGCCCAGTCCTACTGACAGTTTACTGAAGCGCCAAGTAAAAATACTTAATATTTTAAAAGATGAAGAAGAAAGATGTTTTTACAGATGTTAGCAAAAGCATGGGAGAGGCTTGCACTTGACAATAAGAATGGAGACTCAAGGTGCCTGGGTGGCACAGTTGGTTAAGCGTTGGACTCTTGATTTCAGCTCAGGTCATGATCTCACAGTTAGTGAATTCGAGCCCCCACATTGTGCCCTGTGCTGATGGTGTGGAGCCTGCTTAGGATTCTGTCTCTCCTTCTCTCTGCCCCTCCCCTCCTTGTGTTCTCTCTCTCTCTCTCTCTCTCTCTCTCAAAATAAATAAATAAACTTAAAAAAGAAAAAAAAGAATAGAGACTCAGGTCCCCTGCTTGGAGCAGATGATTCAAGCACATCCTATTTCTGAACTAGGCTTCTTTGTTGTCATACAGGTTACTGTATGCTTAAATGAGGCAGGAGTTTGTGTGTAATTCATACAATTCCTGTTTCTGGAGTTAGCCTACGTCTCCATCTCTTTCATTCAACAGAACATTAAGTTAGCCTCAATTTCTGTCTTGTCTAAACAAGGCTTCCATCTTATCTACGCTGGCATGTGCTCCGCCCCCACCCATCACCCAGTAGTTACCTGAATTTCCAGACAGAGAAGAGGCTTAAAACAAGAATCCTCAAAGTAAATTGGCAACATTTCAGAAACAATTTACATTCCTATTAGCACTTCATGAGAGTGTTCATGTCCCTAAATCTTTGTCAGGTTTGACTCAGGCATTTAGTTGTTTTAATCTTTATATTCATCTTCGTATCACTCTTAAAAGCGATGTGGTTCCTAACACTCCTCACTGATTTGATTTGTGATTATCCTGGACAGGCCATTTATATTTCTGGTACCACACTATTCTTTTACTGGTTTCTTATTAATATATTTAAACTATTCATACTGATTTGAAAAGATATTTAGATATTTAGGTTGATAACATTTTGCCATATTCACTGGAAATGTTTTTCTACTTTGTCATTTGTTTTTTAATTGTTTCTAATTTTAGATAGAAATTTTAACTTTTATATAGTCAAATTAATGTTTTAAGTCACTGGAATGCATTTTATCAATAGTTAAAGGTCAGGGTATAAATTTTCCCTTCCAAATTGTCAAATTTACTAATACTTTTGCTTTGCTAAACTTACGTTATCATATACTGCTTTTTTTTTTTACACATCTCTATGTATGTGTAAAATATGTATCCTCTTTAATGCTAATGAGATTATATACAGAGACATAATGAACACATGATTTGCGTTTACACATTACATTTTTAGAGCTTATCTAAGATTTCCCTTTTCTATTTTTGATATGTTCATTTATGAATTGTTTATTCTGTCAGTACTGAACATTTTTTTAAAAATTTTAATGTTTTTTATTTATTTCTGAGAGAGAGACAGCATGAACAGAGGTGGGTCAGAGAGAGGGAGACACAGAATCTGAATCCGGCTCCAGGCTCTGAGGTGGCTGTCAGCACAGAGCCCGATGCAGGGCTCGAACCCACGAACCGTGAGATCATGACCTGAACTGAAGTTGGATGCTCAACTGACTGAGCCACCCAGACGTCCCTTTCAGAAATGTTCTTGATTGCTATTTTTGTATATTTTCCCAGATGACACTAAAACAATTTTATCAATCCAGAAAAGAGAAACAAACTTGCACTACATGATATGACATATATCATACATATCATTATATATATTATACAGTATATTAATATCTTATATATAGAAAGAAATGAAAATGTTATAGATTTATTCCTAGAGTGTATTGTCACCAAAAAAAAAAAAAAACATGTCTAAGAAGTTTTCATAGCATTACTTGTAAACTAGCAAAAAACTGGAAATAAACCAAATGATTAATAGTAAAATAGATAAACAGATTATATTCTATTTTTAAAAGTAATACAATAGGTCAGTGTAAGTAATGATCTATTGCTACGCAAGTAAAAATGATGAATATCACAACATAAGATTGAGCACTAATAGCCAGATACAGGAAAGTTAAAGCATGTATGAAATAGAAGTTCAAAAGCAGGCAAAAGTGACAGAAATCAGAGTAGTAGCTGCCTTTGATGTGGTGATTATGAGAAGAAATGGGAGAGCCTCCGGAGTGCTGGTGATATTCACTTCCTGGTCTAGTTGGTGGCTTAATGGGTATATTCACCAGTAAAATTGTACTGAGCTGTATACTTATGTTATTTCAAAGCTTACTGAGAAAATTTACATCCTCAGAGAGCTAAGAAGATGTACTGAAAACAAGAAAGCATGCTATAAGAAAAGGCATACTCACAAAACCTTGGAAATTAAAGGCATGATACAGAAATTTAAATTTTTGTTTAAAAACAAATTATAATAGCACCTATGCAGAAAATAGGACAAAAAAGCAAAGAGAAGGAAAGCAGGAGAGAAAAAATAAGGAAGTCCCATTTAGCTTTAGAACTACCAGTTTTTGCATGATTTTTTTGCTCTGTCTGATGGAACTTGGGAATAAGCAAATGTCTTGAGTGAAGGATAGATGGAGAATGTAAGACTCCTGAGGTGCCTGGGGAGCTCAGTAGGTTAAGCATCTGACTTCGGCTCAGGTCATGATCTCACAGGTTATGATCTCATGGTTTGTGAGTTGGAGCCCCACATCAGGCTTTCTGATGTCGGCACAAAGCCCATTTCAGATCCTCTGTCTCCCTCTCTCTGTGTTCCTGCCCCCCCAAAATAAACATTTTTTTGAAATGTGAGACTCCTATTTTGGTGGGTGCTTCTCATTTGTCCAGGAAGATGAGTCTTATCATAGCTGCCTTAGTAGCTACGAATTCCCATCCCAGGACTGTCCCGTCTATGTTGATCTAAGTAGCAGAAGCAACAGGCACCCTTACTGCTTGGCCCTTAGGCCTGACTTGTTTTGTGAAGTGGCAGGTGCCTTGAGGCAGGAAAGGCTGAGGTGCTTCACAGGTGGGGTCTGCTTCAGTAAGGCTAGGCCTTCATCTGCACTGATTCTTAGGTTCTCCAAATAAGCTACAAAACCCAGCACTTTACATCTCCTTCTCGAGTTCTTTGCCAGCCTCAGGCATGCCTATGTGATTGAGCATGCCGTGAAGTCTCCTCTACCCATCCCCCCTCCTTTCCGTCATATTGGACACTGTAGTTTGTAGACTTTACTTGGGAGAGGGGAGGCATGGGACTATTCTGCCTTGTCTTCTTGGTTACCCGGTTACCTATTTTCATGAAGCTTAAGAGCAGGCAATGTGTATGAATTAAAGGTTTTATCTACTTGTGGCCATTTTCTTTGCTTTCGGAGTAGAACATATGTTGGGTTTTTAAAGCAGTGCTTCTCCAGCATAATCAAGGACTACGCAGTTGATGTAGATTCCCCTGTGCAAAGGCATTTGGGCTGTCTATTTCTCAATAATGCTGCTTTAAAATTGTATCTTACAGTCATTATCTTAATGGATATTTAAGCAGGATTTCCTTAGACTAGCCTGGTCACAAGCCATTTGCAGGAAAGTAGACAAGCTTATGACACATTAGGTATTAGAAATGTAATCATGAGATTAAAATCACATCATATTTATATAATGTGTGGTAGAATGGAAATACCGTGGAGAGAAATAAAGAATTTGATAGGGAGATAACTTTCACAGTTTTAGATATGTTGAGTTTCACTTGACGGCAGGATAATCAATGGGGGCGTTTCATCTCCCAGGGGACATTTGGCAATGCCTGGAGACCTTGAGGTTGTCACATGTGGTGGTGGTGGCAGGGGGCATCTAGTGGGATAGTCACAGGTAAGCATCTGAAAAGCTAGGACAGCCCCCACAACAAAGAACCACCTGGCCCCAAATGTCCACAGTGCTGGAGCTGGGAAGCCCTGCCCGAGGTTGAAGAAATGTAGAAGGCCGGTGTCTTAGAAAGCAAGCCTGGCTCAGAATAAGAGAGCCTTGCCACACAGGAGGCGAAATAAAGACCTTAAACATAAAGGAAGTTGTAATGAGTTAAAGATGAGGATTTGTAAAGCGAGTCAGCTCCTTTCAATCCTATCTGTCAAATGGGAGTCAGGTGTTGGTTAAGTTGGTGGGAGGGGGCAGTGGAGGCCGTGAAGGGAGATGGAGCGGGACAAAGTGAAAGAAGACGTCTAGAAATGCCATTGCAAGGCGTGTACCAGGAGCCAACCAGAAGTAAGTAGCAGGATTGCTCAGCCTCCCCTAGCAGAACCAGGATGTGGGATGACGGTAGGTGCAGACCCACACTACCATCTCATGTCCTAAGTGGAGTAGAAACCCCAAAGGACATGGGGTCCTCCTGCGGTGTTGTAGCAGCCGTGCGAGCATCCACACAGCAGCCGCGTGAATGTCGAGAAGTGTAATAACAGCTGCGTGCTGCAGGGTCACGGACAGGCATCAAATTCAGGAAAGTGGACAAGGCATCTGGTAAATGCGTGTCCAGTGAGATCTGTTCACTCCCTCACCCTGTCTTACCTTCTTCTGTCCCTCAGGGTGTGGACATTAAAGCAAGGGGAGAATGGAAATCCTTGCCGGCTCCTCTTGACCACATTAATCTACATGTCCGTGGGGGCTCCATCCTGCCCTGGCAAGAGCCTGCGCAGAACACCCACTTAAGGTGAATGACTTGACAAGATTTCTCCTTTACCACCAGTTACCAGTTAGCTCAGATCCCAGTGGAGCCTGGCAATTTGTAAGCAGCGCCCTCAGGCCCAAAAGGAATTTTACTACTACAGACTGTTTTTGCTTGTTTGTTTGCTGTTGAGTTTTAACCTTTTTCAGCATCTGAGGTCTTTAACAATTGTTGACAATTTAAGTGGGTGAGATGATAGGTCTAATTTTTCACACTTGAAATAGAAATCAAACATGGACTAACCTGATTCATGCTAGTTTTAGAAGACTTTCTGCATCTTAATGGACTCTGCTAAGAAAACTGTGGCTGGAAGATTGCATAAGCCACATCACATCTGATGCTTGAGGCATCATATATAGGATTTTTAAATTCTAGGCCTAAGTCTACATAATAATTGATAATAGCTAACATCAAGTGAATGCTTGCTGTGTGCCTAAAACTCTACTAGTATGGAGGTTTCTGTTTGTAAATTATCTTTCTTTTTTTTTAATTTTTAAATGTTTTTTATTTACTTCTGAGAGAGACAGCGTGAGCAGGGGAGGGTCAGAGAAAGAGGCAGACACAGAATCCGAAACAGGCTCCAGGCTCTGAGCTAGCTGTCAGCACAGAGCCCGATGCAGAGCTCAAACCCACGAACCATGAGATCATGACCTGAGCCAAAGTCAGACCTTAACTGACTGAGCCACCCAGGCGCCCCTGTAAATTATCTTTCTTAACAAATAGAAAAAATAAACTCTGATGTGAGTACTATTATCCCCATTTTACAGATGAGCTAAGAGAGTTTTCAGGTGACTAAGAGATTTACTCAGAGTCACACACTTAGTAACTAGTTGAGCAGGAACTAAAATCCATGTCTGCCTGATGTCAAACTAAAATTCTTAGATCCATGCTCATTTAATTCAGGAAATTCTGTTAAAAACTGAAAAACTCAGGACATTTGTAAGTGGAGCTCACTGTACATGTGCTTAGGACATTAAGTCATGAAAAAAGAAAGATCACTTCAGGATTTTTCTCACAGATCCAGTGGGTTTGCCTGCAGTTTCTTCCATCCATCCTTTCATTCATTCATTCATTCATTCATTCATTCATTCATTCCTGACATAAAGTCCTATAGCCACTGGAGACAGAACTAGAACCAGATGACAAGTCTCTTGAATCCTACTACTACTGTCTTTACACCATGAAGCATTTCGGTTATGCCTCTATGAAAACCCTTGATTTGTGGCTTTGGTTTTAGCTAATAACTCCTCCTACCTCATTGCAGCCGGCAGAAATTCATTGGCTTCAAGGTTGCCTTGGATGATGAGGGGACTGCTAAAGGTTGGCTCTTCTGGGATGATGGGCAAAGCATTGGTGAGTAAGGGTTGCCTTGGATTCATGTCAATACCACTGACTCTGGGGCAGTCCTGCTTTTTTTCTTTTCCATGTTAAAACAATGTTGCATTCTGGGGCACCTGATGTCTCAGGCAGTTAAGCGTCAAGACTTCAGCTCAGGTCATGATCTCGCAGTTTGTGGGTTCTAGCCCTGTGTCAGGCTCTGTGCTGACAGCTCAGAGCCTGGAGGCTGCTTCGGATTCTGTGTCTCCTTCTCTCTCCGCCCCTCCCTTGTTCACATTCTGTTTCTCTCTCAAAAATAAATAAACATTAAAAAAAATGTTGCATTTTTAAACCTGGCCATTTGTTATTTTAAGTGCATAATACACACTGTATGTGATCTTTATGCCTCATGTAAAGGAAGCATATCTCTGAATCTCCCACCTTTACCCAACTGTCCTAATTCACTGTGGGAGACAGCAGTGTAGAAGCCATAGGAAAAGTTTCTTTGTAGCCAACTGAGATATACTTCCTTATGGTTTAAGTTCAAGGGCACGCTCCCTAATTGCACAGTTTACTATCCCAAAAAGAAAGGCAATGCCTCTATCAGCTGTGCTATTTATCTGGGAGGATTTTCCGTTAGGAGTTTACGGGAATTGGTAACCTTCTGGGAGGAAGGCTTCATTGCCATTAGCTATGTCTAAGCCAATGCTGTCCAGTGCAGTGATGGAAATAAGTCTATATCTGTGTTGCCCAATATGGTAGCCATTAGGTATAGGTGGCTATTGAGCACTTAAAATGTGACAAGTGCATCTGAGAAACTGAATTTTTAGTTTTGTTTAATTATGATTAATTTTTATTTAAATAGACATATATTGTGAGTGGTTACTATCAAGGACAGCACAGCTCTAGAGGGTTAGCCAACGCCCTCTGATTGAATGATAACAAACTAGAAAGAGTCCAGAATATGGGGAAGAGTGAGAAAGCCCCAAAGGTAGGACGTAGGGTCAGGACACCTAGACTAGATGCACTGAGCTCATAGCCTCCTAGGACAAAGAAGTCTTTTTCTTTTCTTTTCTTTCCTTTCCTTTTCTTTCTTTCTTTCTTTCCTTTCCTTTTCTTTCTTTCTTTCTTTCTTTCTTTCTTTCTTTCTTTCTTTCTTTCTTTCTTTCTTTCTTCTTTCTTTCTTTCTTTCTCTTTCTCTTTCTCTTTCTCTTTCTCTTTCTTTCTTTCTTTCTCTTTCCTTCTTTCTTTTTTATATTCTTTGTTCTCTGGAGATTGCTTTGAAAAAATTACCTATAACTTCTCAAGATAAGCTAACCAAGATACCAGTGTTGATGTTTGTGATGGGGGTGTACGTGCAAGTACACATATGTGTGCTTCTAGCAGGTGGAGTATGGAAATTCTAAGGTGGCCAGGGAGATGTTGGGAATGGTAGACCACAAGTAAGAGAAGTGGGTTTAGAATGGTGTCAGGAAACTGCATTATATGAGGTTACTCTGTTAGACACACTGGTACTCATTTCAAACATTTTGTGTATGGGCCACTGGGGTGGCTCAGTTAGTTAAGTGTCTGACTCTTGATTTTGACTCAGGTCATGGTCTCATGGTTTGTTGGTTCAAACCCTGAATTGGGCTTTGTGCTGGTAATGAGGATTCTCTCTCTCTCTCTTTCTGCCCCTCCCCTGCTTGCACACACGTTCTCTCTCTCTCTCTCTCTCTCTCTCTCTCAAAAACACTTAAACAACATTTTGTGTAAACAGAGTTTGGGGCAAAGTCTGAATATCTCACAAAATGGAACTCTATAAAGAAGAGTAAAAAGAAAAACAAAAAAAAATCACCCCTTCTTTCTCAACAAGCAAGGAATTAGAATTTGAGAACGTAGCTCCAGATCATGCTTACCTTTTTGCTTGTTTGCAGATACTTATGGAAGAGGACTCTATTACCTAGCCAACTTTTCTGCTAGCCAGGTGAGTGCGACTGATACTATGAAGGGAACAGAATTCTGCTGGCTTAGTTGGATGCTGGATATCATAAGGGCATAGAGCACCCCCTAGAATCCCTTCACGGCTCATCTCATTAATTTGTGTCTTTCCCTTCCTCTGGACTTCAGATGGACATTTAGTATACTGTCAGGAAGTTTTCTGTGGTTAAACCCATTTGTGCTTCATCCGTAATTTATTCCAGTTCACCACTGGTGAACAAATTGTTTCTGTGTTACCTAGCCCCTGTTCCTAACTTGCCTTGGAATGGCCTGCACATTTTATGACTTCTCTATGGGTAGAATTTAAAATATATCCTCATATATAAGGTTCCTGATAGCTGATACTCTTGGTCTCCTTAGAGTTCAGGGCTAGTCTAGAGACCCTGCAGGTGCTTAGCCGAAGCAAAGTTGGGTGGTAGTTGGAAGCAGGAGATAGAGGCCTGAAATTATGGCCTGCGTTATCCTACCCATGGACACCAGATGGTGACTCTCATGGTATCTCACTTCATGATCTACATTTGTGCCTTAAAAAAAAGTTTGAGAAAAATTTAAATGGATTTTTGCCTCTGGTTTCTTTTTATCTCCAATTGACAGAATATGATGCAGAGTCATATAATTTTCAACAAATACATCACAGATACAAACCCTTTGAAATTGGGCTACGTGGAGATCTGGGGAGTGGGCAGCGTCCCTGTTTCCAGCGTCAGCGTCTCTCTGACCGGCATGGTTATCACGCCCAACTTCACCTACAACCCTGCATCACAGGTTTGTGACCCCTGAAAAGTCCCTGTGGTATTTCCCAATCCTGAGATACCCAGGGCACTTCCTTCCTACCTCCCTTCCCTTCGGGAAGCCCTCTGTGTGTTCCGCGCATCAGTAGGAGACAGCATGGAGATGAAGGGAAACTTCCTGACTCATCATCACTTGGAATTGAGAGTCTGGAGCCTTACTCTCCATATATGTTTTCTTGTCTGCAAATTTATATAAAACTTTGCCTTTATTTCTTCAGCCTCAAAGATCTACTTCCCAAACAGCCCAAACTACCATATTTCTTCAAATATAAGACACCATCAAAGTTGCCCCATTATTTCATGTACCGCGATAAGAAGAAAAAGAGGATTACAGAAGTATGATACAATGCTTTAGTATCATTTAAAATTTCTACTCTAAACACACAGAGGCTTTGCAAACTTTCTTTAAACCAAGATTTTTATCCTTTTAATGTTAGTGATAATACAGAAGAAAATATTGGGTAGAGACACACAGACGTTGACAAATCTGAATCAAAGTAATTTAGACAAGGTAAACTCTGAATGTGAAGGAATACTAGAAATGCCCTAACCAATTTGTATCACATGTTTTATTATGCTAATTTTATGTAAATATTTTAAATTATCATTTTATTTATTATTATTTAAAATAAATATATGTGAATGAATGGGCTAAGGTATTTCCTCTGTGCTAGCAGAAGCATTGGTGATAGATCATTTCATAAAAATTCTTCCACTAATATCTATGGAATTTTCTCCAAAGCTAGCAATGTATTTTATATAAGTTTTCATCCTAGAACTCTCTTGATCTCACTGTCAGCTAGGATTCATATTCTTTCCTAAAATAATCTTTAAGTGGTTTGTAGTTCATCCATTCATAATACCAGTAATGGCAATGAACTTCGTGCTTGCACAGATAATAACCCGTTATGAGTACTGCTTAGCTCACAGTAATTCCAAGGCCATTGATTGCAAGACACATTCTGAGTTCATGAATGTTGTCTGTGTGGAAAGTGCGCACGTTGGCATCAGTGTAGTGTGGCATTTCCAACACCTAGCCTCGCCGTAAATGGATCTTTCTTTGTGTGTTTGCTTCTTGCTTTTTCCTAGACTCATTTTTTCTATCATAATCTTTCCTGATTACAAGGCCTGAAACAAAATTTTCCTCCAGTTTTGTATTCTTAATTAATTAATTAATTCATTTCCTCATATTTGCGGCTTTCTTGTTAACCAATTCCCTGAACCTTACCAAGAGTTCATGAAGGACTTTGCCCAACTTTGTTGCTGACCAATGGACTATTGCTGATCATGGACTGTTACACAAGCTCACACCTGCACCTGCAGTGACATGTATGGAAAGCATTTGCCTAGAAAAAAGCTGAACCATTGGACTTTCACTGGTCAACCACCAAGTCACTATGGGGGAATAGGAAAAGGAAGAAACCAAAGAAGCATGTGTGCAGTGGAAATAAGGGCTTCTCCTCCCATCTGTCTATGCAATTGTTTCTCTGCAGTCATTTGTATTACACTGTTTAGGGCCTATCCCTATCCCTATCCCTGAACTAGCTTTGTATTCCAAGAAATCAAGAAACACACTCCTCACCTTGAAATACGAGGGCTGCCTAATAGCAATGCATTGTAAAAGCAGCAGAGTGTCATGTGGACCATTGGCTTGCATCTGATTTGCTCGAGTGCAGGAAATTTCAATCACCAGATACTCACTACTTTTCCTTTTGGTTTCCAACAGGTGTTAAGCATTGATATGACCAGCAAAGACATCAGCCTCCATAATTTCATTTCACTGACATGGAGAAGCACTCTGGCTTTTTTATAGCAAGACACCAATTATGAATAGCTTTGAAACTACTTACAATTCATGCTCATAAAATTATTGTGTGTGTTAATTGGTTCATGCCCAGTATGGGTAAAGTATTTTATTAATTTTGTTATGTATTTTGTCTGTGTCTTACCCCAGTGGGATAAGCCGTAGGGAAGTATGGGAAATCTGTGGGTTGTCTGACTGTCCCTGAGTGATTAACATGGTAATGATGGCTTATCACACAATATCTTCTGAAGATGGACTGGGTCCATGATGAACTTGCATGTATGTGTGTATGTGTGTGTTTAATCAGGGAATGGGCCCCACTCTTGCTAAATACACAAGACAAATCTTGCCAGGTCAGTTCCTGGTCCTGGGGTTGACTAAGGCCTCAAGAAAGTATCCAGAAAGAACATCTGCTAGTTGGCTATAGCGAGAAGGGAGCAATTGCATGATATAAGGGGAAGGAAAGGAAACACAGGAAAGGTTAGCAGGAGGGGTGAGAGGAAACAGAAGATGGTGACAAAAGCAATCATTACATGTGAGAAGAAAATGCAAAAATCTCAGGAATAGTAGCCTCATGGGGAGGAGAAAGGAAGGAGCTGACTCACATGAACTCGGAGATGGGGCGGGGCAGGGGGACACTTAGCATATGGAAGTGGGGTGAGGATGAGATTTAAGCAGGCAAAGCTGAAGGAAGGAGTTTGAATGTAAAAAAAGTGTAACATAGTTTTGCAGTGGTGTGCTTTGAAATGTGTAAAATTATTTCTTTGCTTTGCACCTAACATATAACCACAGTTCACACAAATGCATGCAACTTAAATGCCAGAGAAAAATAAAACAAGGAAATTTACAAGAAATTGTGAACTTAGCAACATTTTTACCCTGGGTAAACTCCCCTTGGGGATAAGTCTTCTTGTTTGGCAAACCCTTGTAAGTTGGTCTTGTTCTCTTTGGCATAAAGTTCCTGGAGTCTAGCCCACTAATAAGATGATCAGATTTATGATTATCCACCCTTTCCTTCACACCTCCGGCATGGGGTGTTCATAAGATTGAGGTGTGTGGGAAGCGTGTACATGAGGGTCTGTTGCCGTTTTACTCATCATAGCAGCTGCTATATCTGGTAAAATGTCAACTGGCAAAAACAGAATCTATGACACTATGGGTTATAATTACATGAGATGGTTAAAATTTGGGATAAAATAATTACATATGAATGTTCAACAGAGATATTTACTTTTGGTATTCCTTGGAAATGAGTGTATTGGAAACAAGTGTGTTTACTTCCCTAAGTCTTTCTCTCTCTCTTTTTGTTTTAAAACACCAGGAGGCACTCATTGTGTCAGTGCCTGCCTAAGGTTAGAGCAAATAGTATTGTTAAATTGGCTTAATGTTCTAATTAGCCAAATAAGGGGCTCTTAGATGAGGGCTTGAGCTAATGATACAACTAGAGAAACATGGAAAAATATCATAGGACTCCTTTGATCAGAAATATGGGATGCTCAGGGCGCCTGGGTGGCTGATTTGGTTGAGTCTATGACTCTTGATTTCTATTCTGGTTGTGATCTCACAGTCATGGGACCAAGCTCCATCCCAGTTCTATTCTGGACATGGAGCCTGATTCAGATTCTCTTTTTCCCTCTCTTGCTGCTCCTTCCCCTATCAAAAAAAAAAATGGCAGTTGCCTGGGTGCTCAGTTGGTTAAGTGTCCTGACTTTAGCTCAGGTCATGATCTCGTGGTCTATGAGTTCGGGCCTTGTATTGGGCTCTGTGCTGACAGCTCAGAGCCTGGAGCCTGCTTCTGATTCTGTATCTCCCTCTGTCTCTCTGCCCCTTCCCTGCTCATAGTCTCTCTCTCAAAAAATAAATAAACATTAAATAAAATTTAAAAAATACACGATGCTCAACATCACTCATTATCAGGGAAATACAAATCAAAACCAGAATGAGATACCATCCCATACCAGTCAGAATGGCTAAAATTAACAACACAAACAACAGGTGTTGACGAGGACGTGGAGAGAGAGGAATCTTCTTGCACTGCTGGTGGGAATGCAAACTGGTGCAGCCACTCTGGAGAACAGTGTAGAGGTTCAACAAAAAGCTAAAACAGAACTACCCTATGATCCAGCAATTGCATTATTAGGTATTTACCCAAAGGATACAAAAATACAGATTTGAAGGCGTACATGCAACCCAATGTTTATAGCGTTATCAACAATAACCAAACCATGGAGAGAGCCCAAATGTCCATCGACTGATAAATGGAGAAAAAAGATGGAGTAGATACGTGCAATGGAATATTACACAACCATCAAAAGGAACAAAAACTTGCCACTTGCAATGACATGGATGGAGCTAGAGTGTATTAGGCTAACTAGAATAAGTCAGTCAGAGAAAGACAAATATCACATGATTTCACTCATATGTGGAATTTAAGAAACAAAACAAATGAACATAAGGGAAGCAAGACAAAAGGAGAGAGAGAAGCAAAGCAAAAAAGACAGAGAGAGAACAGTCTAAGGGTTGATGGAGGGAAGAGGGTGGAGGGATGGACTAGATGGGTGATGGGCATTAAGGAGGACACTTGTTGGGATGAGCACTGGATGTTGAATGTAAGTGATGAATCACTGAATTATACTTCTGAAACCAATATTGCACTCTATGTTAACTACCTAAAATTTAAATAATTTTTTTAAAATATGGGAAACTTGTTAGCTATCCTCTAATCCACCCAGGAAGGCTACCAGGAGGAAAGCATCATTCACTTAATATTTGAGAAATATTTTATGTTGTCATCAAGGACACATTGGTGGGAGTTAGCTCTGGTTGCCACCGAATGCTCAAGAAGAGGATTTCTGATGTGAGAATCCTGATCACCGCATTCCGGAGTGAGGCTGACTACAGCTGTAGTGTCATAGACCCCATTGGCAGTCTGATGAGACCTGTGGAAGCCCTCCGAAGAGTGATGTTCTTAGAGACATAAAATAAAATGCATACCATTTAAAAGGAATCCTGGGATGCCTGGGTGGCTCAGTCGGTTAAGCATCCACCTTTGGCTCAGGTCATGATCTCCCAGTTCATGAGTTCGAGCTCCACATCAGGCTCTGTGCTGACAGCTCAGAGCCTGGACCCTGCTTCAGATTCTGTGTTTCCCTTTCTCTCTCTGCCCCTCTCCCGCTCACGGTCTATCTGTCTCTCTCAAGAATAAATATTTTAAAAAGTTTTAAGGAATCCCAATATGTTAAAATACATTTATATGAATATTTTAACAATTTAATATAGTAACAGGTGAGGAATTTTTTAATTATCACATTAAATAATAAGATTGAGCAGTGGGCTTCATAATATCATAATTTCCATGTGATGGTCAGCATAAACAATATTTTGAAATATCTGCTACCATTCCATAATGTAATATGAAAATATCTATGATTCTGATTTTGACTTGTGTACTGCTAAAACTGCCGTGCTCTGCTATCCACATTTATAATCTAAGAAAATGCTAAATTTCAGTTCAAAATTAGTGAAGAAAGATGTATTTTCCCATCAATGCTTGCAGATTCCCTAAGTTATACCCCTTGGAGCTCTGGGGACCCTAGTTCAAGAATTCCTAGATTAAGGCACATCTGCTTCCCAGACTTCAGTTTAGCGACTTGGTGTCTTGTACCTGTAACAATTTTAAGCATTCCCAAGCCTCAGTTGGTCTCTTGTCTCTTGAATTCATTCATTCTTTTGGCTTTTAAATAGCCAGTTCCTGAGGGTCGTGAAGACCTTTAGTATAGGACTGAAAAGATTCTCAGCAGCTCCGGGGAGGGGGTCAGTGAAAGAACGGATCATGACTCCCTTGGTTCTCTCTTTGAGCAGAGTTGTCCTTCTGTCAGTAGAGGGTTGCATCCTGCCTCACTCCATCACAAGCGTTTGGTCCACTGGTCAAGCAATTTCTGCTCCTTTGATTTGTGTGAGAAGAACTCAGAAGCAATATTTAGGGTCAGGAGGCTTGGTTAGGTCACTCTGTCTCTCTGGGATCATGTTTCTTCATCTGCAAACTGCTGGTGTCAGATTAAAGCTGTGATTTTCAAATTCTGGAAAGGAGCTCTGTGTTGCTCTCTAGAAGAGGAAGGTGGATCTGAGCTCTGCACCCTGGCTTCAGCCATTTCACTCAATTACATACTGGAATTCCATTTGAGTAAAGAATTTTAAAGGGTGCGTGGGTGATGCTCAGTTAGTTGAGCATCTGACTCTTGGTTTTGGCTCAGGTCATGATTTCACAGTCATGGGATCGAGCCCCGTTGAGCATGGAGTCTGCTTGGAATTCTGTCTCCCTCTGCCTGTCTCCCACTCACATGCTCTCTTCTCTGTCTCTCAACAATAAAAAATAATAAATTTTAAATACATATGTAATATACATATATACTTAATATATTAAAATATATAATATATACACTTAAATTCTTTATTTGAGCAGAATATATGTACCCTCATAACATTTAATATATCATACTTATGTAAAAAGTTTGAAAATCAGTATGCCAGATAAGCAGTCCACAAACTGCTTAAATTTTGGTCCCAGGACCTCTCTATACTCTTAAAAATTATTGAGGATTCCAAGAGCTTTTGTTCATGGGGTTATATCTGTTGATATTTTTATAGCTATTGAGATTTATCATATTAAAACTTAACATAGTTCATTGTCCACCTGAAAATAATGTTATACTGAATGTTAACTAACTGGAATTCAAATAAAAACTTTAAAAAATTGAAATAGTTTTATTTTCCAAAAAATATTAGAAGAATTGCATTATTTTACATTTTTGCAAATCTCTTTAAAATATGGCTTAATAGAAAAATCCCCAAACCTCAAATATGCTTCTACATTCAATCTTTTGTGATATCCAGTGTTATTTAGCCTCTTGAAAATTTCACTGTACACTCAGAAAAGAAAGAGAGAAAGGCAAATGTCTTCTTAGTGTTTTTATGAAAATAGTTTTATCTCACACACCCCCTGAAGGAGTCTCAAGGACCTCCCAGAGGTTAGTCCCCAGAGCACACTTTAAGAACCACTTCAGAGTTTCCTCAAATAGTTAAAAA